AATATGCGTTTACGACTGAGACCCATTTGATTTACATACTTTCCCTCATTGAGGGTCGGCTGGGGTCTTGCATTCGGTTCATCTTCAAGGACAGGGTAGTATAGTTTAGTCATGATGACGACTTTGCTGCGTGGGATATTATATTTCCTCAGCGCTTTGCCGATGATTGACTCGGATTGTCCGTTGGAATACGTATCTGCAGTATCCCATGTGTTGATTCCAACCTCGTATGCTTTTTTCAGTAATGGCAAGGCTTCTTCTTCTGGCAAAACCCACGGGCTACCCTCCCACTTAGGATTGCCGAAGGTCATGCAACCAAGAATCAGACGAGACACCTTGAGACCGCTGGTACCCAGTCGCTGATACTGCATCATCCTTCTTGAACTCAATGGCTTGTCTGGAATTTCCCAGCTAGCTACAAGGTCTCGAAGCGTGTACCCCTCGCCGACATTGCCAGGGAAAGCGACGTAGGGAATTCCTGGATATTTCGACGTACTCTCCAAGCACTGCCAAAGCGGTACCCCAGGGGCGGCCTGGCCACAAATTTTTGCTCGTCGAAACATCAAACCTTTGGTCGCCGCATCCGAGCTTGTGATCCCGCCCTTTGCGATGATGTAACGCGGCTGTGGGATGAGAAAACGAAGAAATGACACCAAACCTTGCGCAATGACCCCACCGATCTTGAGACTTGATAACTCGTCATGGCCGGTTATCAGTTTGCGGCTGGTCATTAGAAGAACGTCTTTTCCAGCTGCGATGAAATTGCCCGCCTTATTTGCCGCTTCGAGGATTGTGTGTTGGGCGCCTTCAGGAGCGTTTAGAAGTTCATCGACATCCAGGATGATGGTAGCCAACTTGTCTGCACGGCTGCTGATCAACGATTCTAGTTGTTGAGTTGTTTTGGGAACATATGAGCCGGCGATGATTAGTCCTCCCGGTGCTGATGGAGAGAGGTCCATGTTCAGTGCAGTTGCGGACAGAGGTTGTATCTGTTGAATTCCGAGTCGAGAAGAGACAAACGCAGCTCCAGTCCGATAGATGAATTTCCTGCCAGATATGCGTGCCTGAAACAGTCCTTGCACGAAAACGTCCATATCAGCAGTTGCGACGGCGTTTACAGTCACAACTGAGCGCCGTCGTACTGACAGCAAAATATTCGAAACCTGAGAAGGACCGCCTTTTCGAATGTCCGCAAGGCTGATGGAATGAATCTGGTCGTGGGAGATTCGCTCTTTCGATTTCTCACGGACGTAGTCTCGTAGATTCGACTGGCGGTATCCGAAAGTGGCATCTCTTGCAACGAGCGTTTTTGCAGCGGGAACCAGTGACCCATCTGGATTGGCAACGTAATGCACATCGTTGATCGTCAGACGGCCTCCCTGTTCGAAGAAAGGGGCCAAAACCCAGACATCGGCTTCTCCAAGGACTTTTTCCGCAGCCTCTGGCTCGTCTGGGAAGTGACCACGCAGAGTTGAGTCCCCGCGCAGAACGATTTCGAAGGATTTCGCGGCTTTCACAGCCGCTGTCTTCACGGATTGGCATATACTTCGAATAAGCTGGCGCGCCTCAATTGGAGGTAAAGCCCGCGAGTTGGTAAGTATGAAGAATCCAGCGCAATTGGACTCGAACTCTTCTAACAAGGTGTCCACATCCCAGACGGTAAGAACGTTGATGTTGTGACAAGTCTGTGTTCCGGTCGGGTCATCATCGAGCACAACCAGCACTGGCTGGGAAGTGACTTGATCATGCCACGCAAGCTTGGCTTTAGCAGCGGGTAACTGAGCTAATATGCGCTGTACGTCTTCACGCGACAGAGTGCGCACATCTTCCCCAAAGCAATCCGCCATTGTCTATTTCCTTAAGTTCCTGGGGAGGATTATATGATGACTGACAAGGCAGGAAATGTGATAAGCGCACACGATCGACAGGGAGCCGCATCTCAGAGATGAAAGGCATTCACGTTGTAATCATGACAGCACTAACGTGTAAGAGCCTTGATTAGATCCTCCGCAGCTGGTAAGTGCTTTTCCCTCCGAGGCACAAGATCTTGCATAAACTTCGAAGCTGCGTCGGAGCAGCACCTGGATCGGAGGCATTCCTCCGGTAGCCGGAGGTCACTCCGAGGTCTCCCAGTTACGGAAAGCGACGGTACAGCGAGGCTGTCTGTGGCTAGAATACACTGTTCTGAGCCCTGTCGCTTTAGAGAATTTAATTTGGCTTTTATGAAAGGCGTCGAAGGCGTAGGTGCTAAAGCTTAAGGTCGTCCTTTCAAATTCGTTGCGACTATCATGGCGACGCAGGTGAGCCAAAAAGGCACTGCTACTTACATATCACCTGAAGAAGTCAAAAACCACAACAAATCAGGTGACTGTTGGATCATTATTCACGGAGAAGTGTACAACCTTTCCTCGTTTGACCATCCAGGTGGTGCTGCCGGTAAGATCTATGCGTGGATAAGTGAGCGCGACGCGAGGACTGACATCTGCAGTCATACTAAAGTATGCAGGTACTGACGCGACGTCGGCATTCGACGAGATACATGCCCCCGGAATTGTCAAGGCCCTATCAGCAGATCAAAGGCTCGGACCCATAGATCCTAGGACAGGATCTGCTCCCTGCAAACAGTCAAGTACGCAGGCCATTGTTGCAGCCACGGCGTTTACAAAGCCAGCGAAACCTGATTTGAGCACTCTTATTTCGCTACACGATTTTGAAGAAGTGGCGCGAGAAACTTTCACGAACAAAACATACGCATTCTATTCGTCCGCAGCCACGGATTTGGTCTCTCATCAGGCAAATCTGCATTGCCACAGAAAGCTCTTGCTCAGACCGCGGGTTTTGCGTAACGTAAAAAATGTCAGACTACAGCGAAAGATCTTGGGTTATGATTCAAGCGCTCCATTCTTCATCAGTCCCGCAGCCATGGCAAGATTAGCACACCCAGAGGGGGAGTTGGCTCTAGCAAGAGCTTGCGGTAACCAAGGCATCATTCAAACGGTACGTGTCGTGGAGAGTATCGAAATCGAAGGACTGATGTTTACTGTGGTAGATCTCGAGTAATGCGTCGTACCCCCTCGACGAAATCATCGCCGCAGGCCGTCCGAATCAACCATTTTTTCTGCAATTGTATGTCAATTCAGAGCGACACAAGACTGAGGAGTTGCTACGCTCCGCGAACAGACTAGGCGTAAAAGCCATATTCGTTACTGTGGATGCACCAGTGCCTGGTAAGCGGGAGGCTGACGAACGAATTGCAGCCGAGAATGTGGTTGCGGCCATCAGTGGAGCGGTCGCTACAAATGACAAAAAAGGGGGCGGGTTGGGCCAGGTTATGGCCAAATATATTGACCCTACCTTAAACTGGGAAGATCTTGCCTGGCTGAGAAGGGTCTCGGGGCTACCGCTTATCCTCAAGGGGGTACAGGCAGCAGCTGACGCAATCAAGGCAGCAGAATACGGGGTGGAGGGCATTCTGCTCAGTAATCACGGAGGCAGATCGCTGGATACAACGCAGCCGGCTATGCTCACCCTACTTGAGCTGCATAAAGTGTGTCCGGAGATCTTTGGGCGGCTCGAAGTGTACGTCGACGGCGGCTTTACCCGTGGCACGGATATTCTCAAGGCAATTGCACTTGGAGCTGTAGCGATCGGCATTGGGCGACCGTGGTTGTATGCGCTAAATTATGGTCAGGAGGGTGTCGAGCACATGTGCGAAATCCTCAAAGATGAGCTGGAGGTGTCGATGAAGCTGAGTGGAATCAAGGACGTTGACGAGGCGCATCCTGGCATGGTGAATACGGCGCTGCTGGAGCCTCTGATCCGCTCGACAGAAGCACATCCGTGGATACAGTGGAAACCAAAGGCCCGAATATGAGAAGATGGTGTGGATATTATCCTTGGAGTCGCATAGTCTTCAAGATTAGATAGTGTGAACAGCGTTCAGTAAGACAAACCGTGCAAATTCACGCGCGTGTGATCGTACAGTTGGCACGGGGTAACACGTTAAAATCAGAAATCTCTTCGTTGAGCGGGCCAGGTGAGGATCTTTCGTGCAATGCAGGCAGTAGCGTCTTCCAAAGGTGATAGTTCAATGGGCAGCAGCAGCTTTGGCTCACGCATCCTGTTAAGCCAGCCCAAGGCAACCATGCGAAAGGACAGCAAGAGCAGGTTCTTCTTCAAAAGCAAGAGTAACGACCGCAACGATGGTTAGGAGCTGAATTTAACGAGAAGGGCAAAAGTTCTCTCCGTTTGCGTTCTCTGCAAGGCGTTTTAGTTGTATAAACGAAGGGCGAAGTAATTTTTCATTTGCGACCCTTTGCTTATGTGGTTAATGTACAGCCAAACGCTGCTACTAGAACTAGCGCTACCAATAGTGCTGCTAGTAAGGACAAAAAAAACTTACGGGAAGTGGCTGACAAGATTGCGGCACATCACCAAAGCGTCTTGCGCTCGTCTCGCAGCCATCATGTGCGCAAGCACCTTTCGTTAGTCTTCCGTTACGTGGGGTTTCAGCCAAAAAAAAAAAAAAAAAAAAAAAAAAAAAAAACCATTCCGGCGTTTAGGAATGGCTGCATCTGTTCTGCTTCGACGATTCAAAGGTATTCCGGCATGCTCAGTCCATGCTGCCGCGGAGGAACGCTTAAGCTCACCAACAAGTCGAAGCACAAGTGGGCGGAGCCAGAGGCGGGGTGAGCGCAATTTTAACTTGCCTAATAGAGTAGTTCTTACTCGCAACGAGGCGCGCACGGATTCTGTGGAGAAAAGGCAGGCGCAGAGAAGCACAGGGTGGCTGCAAAGTTAAAAGGGCTACCCCCAAAGCTTATGTACCTGCCCATGCGTCCGGTCTTCGCCTTCCGTTCCTTCCTTTCTTCGGCCTAGTTACCCGCCTTACCTCGTTTAGCGCTGTGTGGGGCAAATCCCTCCTCGCTGTCACTCGTCCCACAAGCCGACGACCTCTTTGTTGTTTTCGGCCGAGCAACGCTGCATTTCACCGCGTCGGGGTCGGCGATTATCTGTGTAGTCGGCTCTGACCCTTACCAAGTAAACAACTTGTTTCGACTGCGGTGTCTAGAGTCGCTCTGCATGCACAATGCTCGCTCCACATGGTGCATAAAGGAAGCGGGTAGCGCTTCATGCCTCTGCGGACGACCGAACGGAACCGAAAAAGTTGACGGCCGCTTGTACGGCTTGTCGCAAGCAGAAGGTCTGTCTGAACACCAGACATGGCCCATGGCCATGCTCACAAATAGCACGTACATGCGACTGACAGTGGCCCCAAGATCAAGTGCGACATGAGCAACGACGAGCCGCCTTGCACACGCTGCCAGCGACGCGGCTTCACGTGCGTGCTGCACACAGCTCAGCGACATGCTCTGCCAGATCAAAGGTCTGTAGAGCGGCAGGCCGCCGCTCAAAGTCTCGAATGATATGAGGATTCACTCGTCCCCACCAGGCAGATGAATTTGCTCCGTAAGGACGTTGCCCACATGTTCTCTACCTTGAGCCGGGTGTGCGAATACCTCAACCTAGAGCCGCCGTTGCCTTTGCTGTCCGAGAAGGACGCGAAGGAGGGCAATCGTGAGGCAGCCTCGCCGCTGGAGAATTCCAGCGAAGACGGCGAGTACGAGCTTTCGCCGCCGACATCGCCGTCAGCGGCTCAGGCGCCGATCGACACGTACCTTACCAGCGCGCAGCAGGAGGCCGCGGCCGAGTCGGCGGGTGCGGCGCGCCCTAGAACGCGGCGGAAGACGGCCGAGAGGCCGGACCTGATCAGCAAGGGTCTGGTATCCGCCGAGGAAGCCGAGGGCCTGGTGCAGAGCTACTTGTCGCGGCTGGACCGGTTCCTATACGGGATCGCGAGCCAGTACAAGGACGCGCAACAGGTGCGGCAGGCGTCGCCGACGCTGCTGGCGGCCATGTGCGCGACGGCCGCGTTCCAGGACGTGAAGCACCAGGCGCTCTTCGATGTTTGCAATCGCGAGTACCGCGCGCTCGTGTCGGCCTCCCTGTTCGAGAACCGAAGCCACGAGTTCGTCCGAGCGCTTTGCATCGGCTCGTTCTGGCTGCCGGATGCGTCCCGCATCCTCTCCAGCGACGCGATCAGGAGGGCCGTGGACTGCCGCCTGCATCGTCAGTTCTACCGGCTGACCGAGCCGCCTCGGCCCGCAGACAACAGAATGGACCCCACGCTGGGCCTGAGCGACGCGAGAGACAAGATGCGCCTGTGGTACCTGCTGTACATATGCGACCAGCACCTCTCCATCCTGTACAACCAGGACTCCCTGATGCGCCAGGAAAAGGACGCCATCGAGAACAGAGAGTTGTTCCTTGCAAGACAAGGCCTGCTGCCCTCGGCACAGGACGTACGCTTGATGTCCCAGGTGTCGTTACTCGTCATCATGTGCCAGATACGGGACGTGTTTGGATGCGAACAGAACAAGCCGGTGTCGAAAACTCTGGCAGTCCAATTCACGCACTTCACACGCGAGCTGGATCAATGGTATGCCAAATATTCAGGCATCTTTGGTAAGCACACTAATTTTCTCCTTATTTCAAAAAGTCGAAATATTGAGACATCTAGAACCTGATCCGTACATCGGATCGTTTCCCCTAGCCGGTCTAACAATGCACTATCAATTCGGGAAGCTATATCTCGGGCATCACGTCTTTCGCGGCCTCGAAACAGATCCTATACCTCCCCATTTCGTGTCCGTTGCCTCTGGAGCTCGCGAGGCTGCAGCCCTCATCTTTTCTTTGATCCTAGACAATGACGCCTTTCGCGAGAACATTCTGGGAATGCCGTACTACTTCCACATCATGATATCGTTTGCCGGAAACTTCCTGCTCGAAGTATGCATGAAGTATCGCGAACAACTCAACATCAACGTGGAAGATGAGTTTCGACGGGTCAGCGACGTGGTGGCATTGTTTGCAAGGACGGCAGCGGTTCCACAACATCCCATCGCACGCGTGACGATCGGCTTGATGCGCAAATTGACAGAATACACCACGGCTCTTGGCATCGATTCAATGATGGCCGGCAGTCCGTTTGCTTACCCTAAATGGGCAGCTGCGAGAGACTACCACAGCAATCCTTTGAACGGGTCAACAGGGCCGGCATCCTTCGAGATGCAGTTCACCACAATGCTTCCGGATGACTTCTTGTACACGGGTTTCGGCGGCATGAATTTCACAGACTCCCAGTTTCACTGTATACCCCAGCATGCGTCTGCGGAGCAATGAAGTTACGCAAGGGATAAATCGGACCTACGCAAGGCCCGCATTTGCGTCGTCATGGAAGATCGTGGTGCCCCAGTCTGGCTTGTTGAACCTCTTGCCCCTGGTCTTTGCCAAAAGGTCGATCTGCCGCATTTCCTCGTCGGTAAGTACGACGTTATTCTTCAAGTTGGCCGCTATTCGCTAGGGTTTGTGCTCTTGGGGATGACTCTCCACCCCTTAGCAATGCCCCAACTAAGCATGACGTTTCCGGTCGGAATTCCCCTCTTCTTCGCTATTTGCACAATGACCGGCTCCTCATGCAAAGTGCTACCGGTTCCGCCGAGCGGCCCAAATGCAGTTTGGTGGATTCCCTTCGCAGCGCAATATTTATGTAGCTTATCCTGAGGTAACAAGGGTTGAATCTCTGTCTGATTCACCGCTGGAACGACCTTTGCCGTCTCGAGCAATTTCTCGAGGTTCACGGTCGAAAAGTTGGCAACACCAATAGCGCGCACCTTTCCAGTGTCAAGCAGCTTCTCCATCTCCCGCCACGTGTCTCGGAAATCCCAGCCTTGCACGTGCACTTTTCGATCTTCCTTGCCATACTCGGCACCGGTGTCTGGTGACAGCGTCACGGGCCAATGCATTAGAAACAGATCCACGTAGTCCAATCCCAAGTCACGTAGAGATTTGTCTAGTGCTTGCTGTACGCGTTGGTGGTCCGAAGACCAGAGTTTAGTGGTCACGAAAAATTCATCGCGAGGTATCGGGGCTTTCTTGAAGACTTCGCCTATTTCAGCTTCACTGTGATAGAGTGGAGCGCAGTCAAAGTGGCGGTAGCCGGCCTGAAAAGCAGCCTCGACAGCTTTTGCAGCTTCACCGGGACCTGCTTTCCACGTGCCGAATCCGACGGAGGGTATCTTAGCGCCGGTGTTTAGTGTGAAATACGAGGGTACAGTTTCCAAATGAACGCCATTAGATCTGTGAGCTCCGTTTCGTACTTCTTCCGAGCCATTCACCGATTTCGTCACGCCTTGTCCCTTCCCCGCGATGCTGTCAGGAGGAGACCGCTCCAATTCGGTCAAGTGCTGTATAGTCGCAATCGTGGCCTTCTGCAAATCTGGTAACGCTGGTTTGTACGGTTTCCGCGGGCTGAACGAACCGTCGGCAGATACGCCGGCCAACGGCGCCGCGAAGTAGCAAAGTAGTTACGTGTACCTTACTACCGCACCGGCTATATATAAGCCGATACTTTGCTCAGGCCAGCAGAAGAAGGTTAAAATTAACAACCATATATTGCCAGCCGATTATCCGTTAAGACTCACTAACGTAAGCCACTTTGGAAGGGGTGAGCTTCTTAGAGCGAGGGAGGAAAGTACTGATGTTACATGCTGAAAGAGGAAGAATATATAAGTAACAGCGTTTATGGCTTAGGAAAGATCTGCTTTAATAGGTAAGGATAGATTAAAACTAATAACCTAGATAAACTAGACAGTTCCCAAAACCGATCCCCCCTATAGACATAATATTCCTTGCTCTCTTGCCTACTAAGCGATATTTATCAGTAGCTTAACTTACATACATGTCCTGTGGATGACATTGTGACCATTTACCAAATGGAGCCTCAAACGCGTAGATCAGTCGAGCCGCTCTTAGAATAAACGACCGTGTTTGCTCTCTATTTGCTTTTAGGGTTCCTGTTATTCGGTACATGTAATACTGGAGATAAGTTTATCATATCTAGTAAAGAAAGTTTCTATGTCAATGGTTACCTCATCTGGGTATGGATTAGGAGCTTCTTTTAACTCATTCACATCTAATCCCCTGTTTTAGAATTATCTTGACATCATCCTTCAACACTTTTGCATTTATTTTTACATCCATTGAATCTTATTTGCTTTTACAATACGTATTTGTATCTGATTATGATTTCTGATTCATGTACAGGGCTTTCCTTGTCGGATCAACCTAAAGTGATCCCGCTTCCAGATGAATTACCACGAAAGCTGCCCTAGTTTAAGAGGCACGTGGAGCATTCGTTGGCCGTCCTGGTTCGGCTGCGGCAACTTCCCTCCTCGAATGTTCATCTGCAGCGACTGATGCAGGAGTTTTGGAGCGGCTAGCTGAGCGTCGCGCTCCTGTCGAAGTTTCACGAATTCGGCTTCCGTCATACCCTCTTTGAGATGCTTGTTTTCCTGACGGTGTTCCTTCACCGTCATTGAAGACTTTGGCTCTCGTCCGTCAGGAGGGTAGTCATGGCCCACCCATACGCGAACGTGGTCGGGCATGCTGAGTATTTTCTGAGCCGACTGGTAGATCTGCGAAGCGCTCCCGCCCGGGAAGTCTGCTCGTGCCGTACCCAAGTCTTTGTAAAAGATAAGATCGCCAGTGAAGACGTTGTCTAAAGCTTATTTAGTTTCTACAACTCCCCGGAATTTCTGATCGGCTGTCACATACCGCCAATCTTATAACCCATGTGATCGGGTGTGTGCCCGGGAATATGGACTGCAGTCGCTTTCAGGTTTCCAATGGAGAACTCTTCATTGTCGTCCAAGAGCTTGTCGAATACAGTCCTGTACTCTTCCGGCGGGACGCTGTAACGCGTAGAGAAGCGATCCTGAACGTGGCCAATTCGACTTCCGATACAGATGGGTGGTCGATGTCCCTGTCGCTCCTGTAACTTGCGCTGGACATACGACGCCGCAGTGATGTGATCTGCATGGGCGTGCGTCTCTAGTATGCGATCCACTTTGTAGCCCTTATCCTTGACTATCGCCAACAGTTCATCGGCCGATTTTGTGTCCACCTTGTGGCTGATGGGATCATAGTCCAGGACAGGGTCAATGATGACCGCCACTGAGGTGTCTGGATCTGCGACTATGTACTGCCAGGAGCCAGTTTTGCTTTCAAACACATCGTGGATCGTGGGATTTGACGTTTGTTGCCCCTTGGTGCTGAACCGCGAAATTTGCGGGCTCCGATCTGAACACCGGACCGGTATTTGTCGGAAGGAGCCGCTGCTGGCACTGGCTAACTTGGCGTCCCGTTGGCGCGAGTAAGTCCTGGTGACTTCAAGATGTTTGGGCGAAGACGTCGACGCACAAGTCGACAAGCGTGCAGTGGAGGGCCGCGCTCTGCTCGCGGTCATCTGAGTAAGGCTGCCACCAGGCAAGATATGCACTCTTCTGGCTGATGCCATCATATCTGCTAGCTCGAAGGAGAAATGCTTGATTCCAGCAAGAGGGAAAAGGAGGGATCTTGAACTGCTCTGGGGCTCAATTTGGTGTTGAACAGACGAGAGCTTTGTATCGATCGCTTGATAACCACCGAAGCAGCATCGTCATATAGCAGCGAGGGCCACACTGTGGCCAGCCAGGCTCGGGCTTCTGCAGGGATCGCGGAGTTTCGCCTGCGATTTGCTTCGGCGACCATTCACATGCCGTCGATCCCCGCTTGTCATCTTTTCGTCATCGCATTCTTTTTTTTAAAGAACTGTGGCATTCCCAAGCAGTCATTGTGAAGTCCGTTGCTACACGCTCGTTCCTTGCCTCCAGGAAAATGTCCCGCTACACGACGCGCAAAGCCCTCGACGGGCTAACGTCCTCGAGCCGCCTACCTTCTTGCACGCAGAGACAGAGGTCGACCCGCGCTTTCGCGACAGCTGCCCCCGCCGCACCGAAGGCCAAGAGCCACAAGATTGTCGTCGTCGGCGGTGGAAGTGCTGGACTCAACGTCGGCCACCAGCTCCTTCGTTCCGGCAAATTCAAAGCGAAAGAGATCGCATTGATAGACCCGGCTAAATGGCACCACTATCAGCCAGGTTGGACGCTGGTTGGCGGTGGTCTCGCGAACAAGGAGAGCTTACGACGGCCGATCCAAGAGCTTGTGAGCCCTCAGCTTTCATTCTACAACGACGCCGTGGACAAGTTTGCTCCGAAAGAGAACCAGGTCAGCCTTCGCACCGGTGACAAGCTTAGCTACGAGCACCTGATCGTCTGTCCCGGAATCACAATCAAGTACGACAACATCAAGGGCCTTCCTGAAGCTCTTGCGAACCCCGAATCCATGGTGTCCACCATTTACGGCTACGACACCTGCGACAAGGTGTTCCCTAATATCAAGAAACTGTCTAAGGGCAAGGCCGTGTTCACGCAGCCCACGGGCTTGGTTAAGTGCGCTGGCGCACCGCAGAAAATCATGTGGCTCGCGTTGGATCACTGGAAGAAGGCGGGGCTGTACAACGCAAAGGATCCGCAGTCCCCAATTCACATCACCTTCGCCACCGCTCTCCCCACCATGTTCGGGGCGCCAAAGTACAGCAAGAGACTGGAGGAGCTGAGGCAAGAGAGAGGCGTCGAGGCCCTGTTCCAGCACGACCTTGTCGAAATCGACGGAAACACGGCAGTCTTTGCTGATCTCAAGTCCAATCAACGTGTGAAGCGCAACTTCGACTTCATGCACGTCGTGCCAAAGATGGGACCGCACGCGTTCGTCAAAGACAGCGAGTTGGCAAACGAAGCGGGGCTCGTCGACGTGGACGAAGCAACGACACGTCACAAGAAATTCTCAAACGTGTGGTCCATCGGCGACGCATCCAGCCTGCCGACTTCAAAGACAGCGGCTGCCATCACGGCCCAGGCTCCAATCATGGTCAAGAACCTCTTGTGCGCCATGGAGGGCAAGCCAATCTCGGCAACGTACGATGGCTACACATCGTGCCCCATACCCACGGAGTATGGCAAGCTCATGCTTGCTGAGTTCAAGTACGGCGGTGATCCCAAGGAGACGTTCAACTTTTTTGGCCTTGTTGATCAGGGAACACCGCGGCGACCATTCTATTACCTGAAGAAAGACTTCTTCCCCTGGATTTACTACAAGTCCATGGTCAAGGGAACGTGGGGTGGGGCCAAGGGTTGGATATCCGCTCCGAAGGCATGATTTGCAGGGTGTTACTGAACAATTGCTTTACCAATGCGGATAGACCACATTCTTGATGGCATGTGGAGTCAAGAAAAGTTTTTGCATGTATTAGTATATTCTTGGAATGTTGTTTAGATAAATAACAATTTCCAAGATTGCTCGCACGAGCAGCAATGTTGCCAGTTATCTAAGTCAAGCCATTTAGTAAGCTTTTCTGTACACCCGACACAGTCCATCCTGCGCCCACTTTGCCAAAAAAAAAAATAATAAAAATCACCAAAAACTTTTAAGATTGTCATGAATTTCCAGCGCCCACATCCCCCTCATGTGCAGATTGTGCTCTATTCAAGAAGAATGCTAGCAGGACAACGGTCTTGCATAGTGCGGCGATGACAAGCGCGCTTGGTGACCCGATCCGCTCGCGCATGAACGCACCAGCAAAGGAACCAGCCACGAGCACGACGAGAAATGCCGCACGCCGGTTTCGACTGCGATTCCGCAGCGCGACCAGATCCTTGTCGATCACCAGGTCGACCCAAGCCGCCGTTGCCATCGCCGTCGTAATCTCTTGGATGCGAAACGGGCGCATCGACGCGACTTGGGCGCCGGAGGAGAAGGCGAGGAGAGCAATCGCACCCAGTGTCCGGGGGCTGTTCAGCTGCACGCCGTGCGCGTACTGGATGGCAGCGGCGCCGAACACCATGATTGTCTGCAGCAGATGCGCGACGATGAGCCAGAGCCGCTGTCGCGTGCCGAACACGTGGGCGATCTGGCCCGTGATCAGAGCGCCGGCCACGAACATGCCCAGGCTCATGCTGACGTTGTGTATGTCGAACAGATCGCCTCCGACGCCCGACACAGCAACGGCGAACATGACCGAATTCCCGGTCTGGTTCGAGGCAAAGCAGCGGAAGTCCGGGTAGCAGATTGCGTCCTGGATGCCGATACTGAACGTCTGCAGCAGCAGCTCGCACTCTATGAGAAAGTCGACCCGCAAGGGGGAGAAAAGATACTTTCTGATCGCGGAAGAGTGCTCCGCGGCGGGTACTATGCTGATCAGTCTCATGGAAACGTTGCGGGTGACGAGCGCAGGGGCCACGTACAGTCAATTGCAGGTTCGAGCCATCCCAGGTCTGATTTCAGCCTCGACATATTCGACGTCTGCGTCCAAGGGCGGCACGACAGCTATAACGACAGGCAGAGAAGGTTATGGGCCCCATCATTGATTTTTGTATGCCGGCGACGTGTGAGGTAGCGCCGGACTGCTCGGCATGAGCCATCTTCCCAAAGCCAACGCACCAATGCCGAGCCGCGACGCTGGGCAGCATATTTGTCGCCGTCCGACTTTTAACCCTGCTTTGTGCTGGGCCGGAGAGGAGGAAGGCTGTGAGATGGCCACTAATGGACATGTGACGGGCCAATCAGAGGAGAGCTTGAGAGCCCGCGAGTGGTCGCCGACACGGTCGTCTGCCCTCGTCGAAGCCCCCAACGCCGTGCTGAAGATGACGTAAATATCGAACGGCGCGCATGCTGCACCCATGCGGGAGATAAGCACATGTTGTTAACGTAGAAGGCAGAGGGTCTGTCTTTCCCAGACTGCCGTCAAGGGCGATGGTTTGCGCTGGGAGTACCAGCAGAAGCAAGAAGCGGACAAGAAGGGGATGGTGATTCATCGCTTGGCGTTCCCTGTCGACTTGTCAACTTCAGTCTCGAAACGATCTTGAGCTCTAACTGTATCTCGCCTTGCTTCATGCCCGAACATTGTTCGCTCGCTGGCGGGGACAAGGGCCCCCCAACTTAGGTGTATCAAAACAGCTACAGTTCGACTGGGCCTGGCCTCTCCTGGGGGCAACGAGAGAATCTTGAAATGGCAAAGCCGCCCTTATCAATGCTCGACGTATGCTCTGTAAATGCGTGCAAGATCTCGTTAGTGAACCCGGTCCATAAGTTCTCTACCAGCCACGACGTGTCCCATGGCCAACTAACGTACGTTGCGTAAGTGAACGTTTCGTAAGTGAACGTTTAGTCCAACTTTGGAGAAATCACGTGAATGACCCTGCCACGCCACGAATGGCCCATGACTTCATGAGTCCATGACGTTGTGTGTTCGAGTGCATCGGCCCGACATTCGCCTTTTCAAGTCCGTCTTCTTTTGAACGACTTCTACCGCATTACTATGACTTCTACAGTGGGGACTGATCGTCCGAGCTCCGTGGCATGCGTAACATGCCGCTCCAAACACCTCAAATGTGATGGTCAAATGCCCACCTGCAGGCGCTGCGCAGAATCCGGGCTGCCCTGTACCTTTGTGAAGTCTCGGAGGGGCTATCAAGGTCGCAAAAGAAAGCTGACCTTTGCCAATTCTGCGAACGACTATTCGCCCGCCTTCAGCATTTCAGAAGCGGACGGTGCGCGCAACCTGGATCCGTCTTTCCGGCCTGCTCAGTCGCTGCCCTTGAAAAATGCAGACACCCTGACAGAAACCGCGTCGCTCGCCCAGGGCCAGACGTCCGACTTTGACTATGAGCGGCTCATAGAAGTCTACTATCGAAACATCCACATGGCTCACCCAATCGTCCTGCCCGAGAAAGTCTATCTCCAAGACCAGAGCGTGCTGCCCGACCACCTGAAGTACGTAATGGCTTTCATGGCTAGCCATCTGACTCCAGACGAATTCAGCAATCTTCAAGAGAAAGCGGAGCTCGTTTTTGAACCAAGCGTTCCCGATGATGGTTTCAAGGTCCAGGCTCTTCTGTTGCTTACGCTTACCTCTTACGCCCGCTTCGAGAGAGATCGCGGCAATAAGGCGCTGACGCAGGCTATCGCGCTGGCCTCGCGCCTCGGCATGGATCATAACGATTTTGGCCACGGCCACAGCCTGATCTACCAAGAGAGCTGGCGGAGAACGTACTGGGAGCTCTACACCATCACCGGCTTGATCTCCCTTATAGCTGGTATCGACTTTCGGATAAAACGGCCCGACGATCTCCTGCTTCCAGGACATTGTGAGGATTACAAAGAATGCCACATCTCCGAGCTGCGAGATCTGCGAGCAATGCACGACCGCCTGGCGATGGAAGACAGTTTCAAATGGTCCTCGTTCGCCTACAAGATTGAAGCAATGCGAATCTTGAGCAGCATATTCGAGTGCCAAGGCCCGGACGGGTCGTTGAAGGATGCGCAAGTCCAGGCTCTCAGCGCCTCAATCTCAAGTTACCTCTTGTCGCTCCCCGAGGAAAAGCGATCGCCCGTCACGGACGACGGCGAAGTCGACGAAGTCATGTCCTGTGCCTTGATGATTATCAATCTTGCTGGGGTTTGTCTCCATTTTCCGCGATCGAGCCTGGCTGGCAAAGGAAGCTTCCGGACCGTTTGCGGCACCAATACACAGGACAAGGTCGAATCGCAGGACCAACGCTACCATCGCGCAGCCGCAATCAAGTACGCCAACAGTGTCTCGATGCTCGTCTCGTCGCGTAACTCGCTGAGGACTTTGACCCCATGTTTTTCCTGTTCGATAGCGTTCGCCGCCGCCGTTCATCTCTCTGCAATTTTGCCTCAGGATGGCACTGAAGCTCAGCACAAGGAGCATATCCAGCTTGAGTTGAGCGCCTTGAATGTTGTGGCCTCCATCTGGCCAATAGGAGGCGTTGTGAAAGCACAGCTTGCGCAATATTCACGCGAGGTGCTCTCGCGGCGCCCGAGTCAAGCACTCGGCGTAGACTCGAATTTTTTGGAACCAATATCCTTCGCAAACGATCCGTGGCTTGAAGAGCTTACCAGTCAGTACACGGATGCCTCTTCTGAGGGATTTCTGTTCAATCTCATAGGACCATCACACGGCCAGTTAAACGCAACCCCCTAAAGATGTCCAACAGAATTAACAGGAAACTCAATAGACCTCTGAGACTTTGCAAAAGGCCCAAGCTGATTGGCTTTTCGTATCAGCATTCTCGGTACAATTATGGCGACGCTGATGCAAAGTTGTGTGACTAAGATGGAAACGTACACCGCTTGACTCCGTCCATGATCATGTCATAATTGCATACGACGAACATTTGACGATCCAAAATAAATAAATAAATAAATAAAAGAAAAGGAAAAATAAAGGGATCAAATTCGGTGTCTTCTACGCACAAACTCTGATAGATCCAAATGCTCGAACACTCCAGTACACTTGGATTTTGATTACCTTAATCGATCGTGCGATTCGATACGACGTTATGAAGTTTTTTCGGGCTGGAAGTTTATTATGGGTCACGATATGAAACAGTCCATATCTTAGGACATTAACCCCGTCCATGCATGCTTATCTATACATACCAACATTGGGACTAGCATTTGATAGGCACTCAAAGTATTTGTCTCGGTAGCTCCCAATAGCTCTATCTGTAAATTTCAGCCCAGTTTGACCTCGCGGCTTAGGTCAAAGGCAATCCACTATAAAATTTCACATGGTAAGGTCATAACATGCCTAGAGCTAGTCACTGTATTCTCGCTACTTCTTTTTTTCCGTCCGGGTCTTCCGGCCTTTTTGAACCTCTCCAAGCCAGCACATGCGCTGTTGCATTACATCACAGACGAGAAGTGACACATTCTCTGCGGAAATTGGGTGAAATACTGCTCTAATGACAGAAGTCAAGAGACAAGCAGAAAGACCACATTTGCACCATTCTAGAGGAGCGCATGTCGTAAACTGATTCTATCAACACGAACCTATTGGTCTGCTCACGTTTTATGCTCACATTTTAAATCTCGCCCTGATCTTTAACGCATTTCCAATTTGCCGTAAGTTGATTGGCCGGGGTATAGTTTTGCCATGTGCGTAATCAAAACAATGATTCAAAGACATTCAACAAATGGGTTCGGAATAATGCGTCCTGATGTGAAACATGCAAAAAGCTCACGTCAAGTTATCTGAGATGCTCTAGGTCCAGCTTTTCTCCCTCCTCCGATTGTAGGAATTCAGCATGATAGAATAGATTCATTGCTGATAATAAGGAGGGCCTTTTCCTCGCGTGCACGTAGAACTATAGCAACAGTTAGGTTTCCCACCACCCGCTCCCCTCCCCCCCTCCTTCTTTCCGCTACCCCTTTCCGGGCAAACATCACTAAATGCGATCTCTTCTGCACTTCGCTCCTTCACGCGTGACTAGGAGATGGCAAGGAATGAGCAGGTGGCATCTAGTAGTCGACACTCCAGACCTGCCTACATTGGAGTTCAGCCACTTTTTGCGCCGTAAACTTGCACACAGAGCCGGCACCAAACACCATTGCTTCCTTTCCGTGGAAATCAACAAAGACGCCACGGTTATCACCGCCAAGGCAGCCCGGAGTAACGACGTAGTTCTAAACCGCAACGCCACGAATTTCGACCAACTCCACGGTCGGCGCATCTTCGAATCTCAAGACGTTTGCCATGCTGAGTGACGCGTGATGGTATGCCTTGGTGTGCCAGCTTGAACAAACACTCTTTTTGATTCAGCGTGTACGGCGCTGACTCAACTTCCTTGCGACGTCTTCTGCGTGCGAAGCGAGTGCAGTTCCAACGGCGTTTATTTTCTCCAAATGCAAGAATATCGAAATCCGCAACGGAATATGAATCACAATTCAAATCCCATCCCCTCAAGATCCAGTTTCCCCCGCAGTATTTACTCATTTATCCACTCGATTTGACCACAAATACAGCTTAATCTTGCCATGTTGCATCAAGAAGCGGCGATCCAGACAACAGATTCGTTCACGCTCGGCTGCCGCTCTGTAGCGTCTCTGCAACGCTACCCGAAGTGGCTCTTGTGAACCATGGCAGTTGACACGCAGTAGTCCAGCTCCGTTCGATGATTCGTTGTGGCACTGGCTTTTTGATACCACTTCTCATAATCCTGCGCTCTTTTCCCGGCCCTTGACGGCGCTGAAGGGTGGATTCCGAGACGCAGCTACGGACCGATAACTGCCTACGCTGCAGTCCGCGAGTATGCGGTCTTGACATCGAGAGATCTACTGGCGCTTTACAAAGTCCAACCCGGAGCCGTTGTGGCTATTGTATCTTCAAACTCGATTTGGTATCCTGTAGCATTGTTTGTTACGATAAGGTTAGGGGCTACTATATGCCCCTTGATTCCTTCAAGCACTTTGCAGGAGCTGTCTTACTTTTTTGGAAAAATCTCTCGAAAGGCTGTGTTTGCTGATCCTGATAATGTTGATCTCGTTGCTCGAGTATGTAAAGAGAAAGGACTCTCAACTGCAGTGGTTTTCAGTATGGAGAAATCTCAGTCAGCAGCTCTGGCGGTGGAAGACCTAGTACTCAAAGGAAAGCAATGTCATGACTATAAGACGACAGATCGTTCGAGCCTACCCACGGGATCAAACGACACATCATGCGCGTTCCTATGCTTCAGCTCAGGTACTACCGGCTTGCCAAAGACTGTATGTTTCAAACCTCCTGGCCACGCAATTCTACCGTTCTGGGCTGACTTGTCTAGGTCGTAATATCGCAACAGAACTCAATATTACAAATTGTTCAGATGTGTGATTTTGGATCACCGCGTTTGCTACGTGTGTTCTTAGGCGTTTTGCCCTTTTATCGCAGTAAGAATTGTGCATTGACGTCCGGTCTACACCGCTACTAACCCTAGAATTTAGTCACTGTGCTAATCTACTTGCTTCGGCTTCCGATTCTTTTGGATCAAGAACTTGTCGTCATGAATGGATTTTAGATGACTCAAATGCTCGAGACAGTCACGAAATATCATTGTCAACAACTTTGGCTGGTGCCTCGTAAGTTTCCTTGGCTGTCTGCAGAATTTCGCTGACCCAGGCCATAGCGCTGTTGATTCGAGTGGTAAACGCCCCTCAAGTGAGCTCGTGCGACATCAAATGCGTTGGGCAGTTCAACAAGGGTGCAGCGCCGCTTGCGCACGAGGTGATTGCGAAACTTGCGAAATTATATCCAGATGTGGCCATCCGCCAGGCATGGGGAATGACTGAGACATGCAGCTGCGTGACGGTCACACCGTGGAATATGATGACATACGGAAACGCCCGCTTTATCGGCAAAATAGTTCCGGGAACTACTGTCAAAGTATTCGATATCGAGAATGGTCGTGAACTGGGATTTGATGAGCCTGGAGAGGCAAGCGCAAATTTTCAACAAACCACACCATCTAGACAGGACTATTCCTATTTGCAAATGCAGAAGGGGTGTGTGCTGATCTGGTTTCAAGCTGTGGGTAAAGGGACCTCAGGTCACAATGGGCTACAAGGATAATCCGTCTACAACAAAGTCCACGTACGATGAGGAAGGCTATATACACACCGGTGATATTGGACTAGTCAGGCAGGACGGGTTTGTTGCAATACATGACCGGATAAAGGAGATGATCAAAGTATGAAGACCATGTTTGACTGCTGCTCGTTCTCGTCCTAAATTCGCGAGCCAGGTCAAGGGAAATGCCGTAGCGCCTGCTGAGCTAGAGGACCTTTTGCTCGGCCATCCAGCCGTGAAGGATGCGGCTGTGATCGGGATTGTGGACGACTACATCGGCGAGGTGCCTATGGCACTTGTGGTTCTGCAAAAGGAGATAGACCCTACCCCAGAGATGGTGCGCGAGCTTCAAAACTACGTCGCGAAACACAAGGCTAGATACAAGCGTATATCTGGAGGATTGTGTCGGAGATACCAGAAAGTGGATCAAGGAAAATTCTGTGGCGCGTCTTACGCGAGCAAATGAAGGACAAAAGAACGGAGCCCGGCCGCCTGTGAAAGAGGATGAACTCAAGTAGGGTGATTTCTGGGCAGAGAAAAATCGACCTTCCTGGGCGCAATTGAGAGCAACCGTAAACAAATTGAGTCGGAATAAGAATTGAATCATCATGCTCGAATAATACGGACGCAAGGTTTAAGGACTAGTCTTTCAAAACGCGAGAACGTTTCCACGCATACGGTGATTTTGGTTCGATGCTGAACGTCTAAAAAGGCCGGAAAAAGCAGAGGCTTGCCGTTCAACGTCCTCAAAGCTGATTGTCTTGTCGACTGGAAAATCTGAGGTGTCAGTAGAATCACGTCGTCTCGAAAGACAATGGAGTGTACCCCGACATGAGACACGAAAGCGGACTCGAGTCGACCTATTGATCCTGCGTATGGAACCAGCGATCGGCCACATGCACGATGATATTCCCGTCATGATTTGCTACTGCCCAGCCTACGCAGCTCCATATCAGCAGCTTAATCCTACAGAAATGACGATGGAACGACGAACCGCCCTTTTTTCCACAGTTGTCGTGCAGGAATCCGACGGAGTCGGCAATGTACGCACACGGCTGCTGGTGAACATCCCCGTCCTTGCTCGTGAAGGACACGAAGACAGAGTCGACGCGCACAAGGTGGCCCGAGTACGTTTCATCGGGCGTGACTTGACAAGTTGCGTTCCCGTCGTTCACTTGGTTACCGAACTGCCTTGCCCGTGCGATCGACACCACCGGCAAGGTGTAGTTGTAACACAGCCATTGATCATCCTCTCTTCTGGTCAGGTTTCCAAAGGGAGCCCAGCAGGGTCAAAGACAGGAGGTGAAAGCTGAAGTGTTTCATAGTACTATATTAGGGTCACAGAGGCGCAATCAAGCATCGACGAGGAGGAATGAGGAATAATTGATGATGGACATGAAAGCTCCTTTTATGAACAAAAGAAATTTGACTATTTACTCAAACACGACGTGGTCGTGTCGGTTGGCAGCGGAAACAGTGTTGTCGATGAGTAACTATTAACTCACGGGGGCAAGTTTCGATGCATCCATTAAAGACTGTCGAAGGATGTCAGTGTCTCTCCTCGTCGTGGCCCCGGCCGTTGCGAAGCCTCGCCGTGCTTCATGAATGGAACATGCTGCCGACTGTTAGGTTTCCGTCACCAGTGGTGTATTCAAAGCCTACAACTCGACCAGCATGCGGTGAATATCGTACGTTAACTGATATCTTACTCAATGCAGACATCATTATGGCGGATTGCACTATTGTGATCAGCTCCGCGTGCAGGAAAATCCATATCCCCATGTCCTACTTCTATGCACGCTCACCTCAGATGATTTTCTAATCCTTTCCTAAACACCCTGCCCTGCCCTTTGCTTCCCGGGCGCAACGTCTTCTTATTGACACATTGTTCTCCGCGAACTAGGAAAGTCAACGACTACCTTTTCGGGCCATTGACCAGCTTTTCGCTTGCCTCCCAGCTCTCAAATTCCTTGTTGATAAGATCGAGTTCCCTCCGCAGGTGTCCTAGTTGGGAATCGTAGCTCATCAGAATCTGGACAAGAAAATCAGCACCTCTAACGAAAATTTTGAGGTAAGCAACAGAAATGAAGAGCCTACCTGTCGAATCTTGGCCATGGTTTCTTCGTCAATCTGTTCTGCACCCTCCAGCTCTCCCGCTTTCTTCCCCAGCCTCTCGGTCTCCACCTTGAGTATCCTCGCACGCTCGCGAACTACGGTCATGCGCGCCCACAGCTCTTCCTGCCGTCCGTTCAAGACAGGATCAAAAACCTGCTTCTCCAGCTTGAACAGCCTGTCTTTCAGTTCCTCCTCTGCAGCGTCAAGTGCGTAGCCTCTGTTTCTAAGGACCTGCACCTTCGTCGCCAGCGCCAGACACCGCCGCGAAAGAGCAATGTGACGTCGCCTCGCTTCTTGGGCTCGAACTGTGAATTTTAAGTCGTGCTCCTCGATCCGCGTGGTGAGGCTCTTGTCGATCTCATGCATGCGCTCGGTCAGCGCGGCGAGCGCCAGCTGTTGCAGCTTTACTCGGCCTGCGATTCCTTCATCCCCGAATCCGCGTGCAAGAACAGGTATGCAGCCCTCCGCGGGCTTGTGCTTCAGTGCCTCCTCCCACTTGACCGAGTCTTCGTCCGGGGGGACTCCGTAGTAGGGCGCACGGTCAGCGCCAACAGATGTGTAGAAGTAATACGTGAAAAGCGAGTTTGGAGACGCCGGATGCCATTTCTGGAACAACTCTAGCATCTGGTCGCGAATAGGTTTTTCACCTGTTACGCATATCAGAAAACCATGACGAGCTAGGGGAATGGTAGGGTGAACGTACGTGGATTGGGCTGCGTCATCCATTGAGATTCACCCAGTCGAGGGAGAGGCGTGACCGAAGTTGATCCCGACAGAAAGCTCTGCGCAAGCTTCTCTTGCTGTGACTGAGCGGCTGGAGCGGCGCTGATGCCAAATAATCCGCCGCCGCCTGTTGCGGTATTCTGTGCTGGCTGCTGCTGGGTTGTGGATCCGAAGAGACTTAGCGCTGGCTTTTGCGCGGTTGATGATCCGAACAGACTGGATGTCTGCTGCTGCTGCTGAGGCTGGGTCGTCGAAGCAGCAAAGAGACCACCACCCGCTGCTGGTGCTGTTTGCGTTTGCTGTAAGGTGCTGCTGCCAAACAGACCACCAGTCTGCTGGGGTTGCTGAGCGGTTGTGGACGTGCCAAACAGTCCTCCTGGCTTCGGAGTGGTGCCGAACAGCGACATTTCTGGCGTCTTTTGCAAGCTCGGTGGCGCAACGTTGCCCGGACCTCAGGATCTAGAGAAGGGCAGTTGATGTTTGTCGAGAGCTACACGTCTACAGGCCTTTGTTCTTGTGACGACCAGGGATGGATGGTCGACGAACTTTTGACTGCTGCCGCTCCGATAGAATGGTCTCCGCCGCAGTAGTCGTCACTATCGTCGTCTTTCTTACCTCCTGACTGATAATTTTGGGTCAATTGTTCCGGCTTTTGTAAAATCGACTGCTGGAAGCAACGTTTGTTGCGACACAGGCTGGCCCAGGCACAAAAAAGCCCTTGGGACACTCAATCGAAGGCGACGGACGGGAGTCGCTGGCCAATCACAGCGCGCCCGATCGGAGCTTCACATTCAAACCTCATCTTCTCAACTTTCGCTCTTTTGCCTCCGCTGACAGCAAATTCCCGCTCAATCTCCTCTGAACATGGCTGACCGAAAGTCAAGGTATGTCTCCAATACCTTATTTGATGCTGTCGCGTAGGCATTGGCCTGACACTGGGTCTCCAGGTTCTCGCAGTCGACCCTCATCGACACCACCCCCCTCCCAGAGAGCATTCCAAAGGTCGACGAGATAGGAGCTTCGTCTGCGCCGCTCCTTTCTGCCGCATACTTTATTGGCGCTCGTTGCCAGCCCTTCAATGATGATTTCATGAAGTGCAAGGCCGAGGCCAATGGCAAGGGCGAGATTGAGTGCCTTAAGGAGGGCCGCAAGGTCACCCGTTGTGCCCAAAGTCTGTTGACAGACATAAACAAGCATTGTCTGGAGGAATTTAGGCGGCATTGGGACTGCTTGGAGAACAATAACCACCAACTATGGCAGTGTCGTGCTGCAGAAAGGCCGCTCAATCAATGCGTTTTTGCGAACCTGGTAAGCAGTTGACCACGCCCCGTCTTCTCACTCTGCGCGACTTGCTTCGTTCGATTCGATCCGACTCCGAATTTTTGACTGACCCTGATTTCACTACAGAAACTCGAAAAGACGATTCCAGGTACACCCGAAGGTAGCATACCCGTCCACCTTCGCGATAGACAGATTTTCGCCAACCCAGGTGGCCTTGGTTTCCTAAGCGGAGGCAGCCCCACCGCAGGAGCGCCGCCTAAGCAGTTCAAGTCGAGCTCCAGCACCCAGCCCGCATAGACGACAGATGAACGGTGATCAGTGAAAGCAAGATTTATGTACATAGTATCGATATCTTGCGACGGATTTCGCCTTTGCGGTAACCAATGTACGGCATGCTGCGGTCAATTGAAACCAAGGTCTGCGCTCACCTACTTGGCTTGTCCTTGACTTGGTTCATTTCGTCTTCTCCTTTGTCCTATTTACATGTTACGCTCCTGACCATTTTCCATTTTGCAAGCTTTGGTTTGCCTGTCCATTCTTAGACAAAGAGCTTGGCTGCACGTTTGCGAAGGAAACTGTCTCGATCGCCCTATGACTAAGGCTCCTTTATCCGCAGAAGCACGAAAGAATAGAAGACTTGAATGACCAAGGCGATTGCTAATCTGTTGACGGCTTTGTCGTCGTTGCTGGTCGTGACTCGTAGTTCGTCATGCAACTGTATAAGTCAACCTCATCTTCGCTGATCTCAGAAAAATTAATTGTCATCAACCGCGCGTGGAAGTGCGGACGAACTAATTCCAATTTTTTGGTGCAGAAATCGTGGATGTACTTTCATTATCTCGTTCCTCAATAAAACAGCTCCTTTTTACCACAAATTCCGTTCTGGAACTGCCATGACTAGCAATAGCCTTGAGATCCTCCTCTATGGCTTCAACAGCCCTAATCCTTCTGCCGCTGTAGAGGTCGCCCACAACTACCTCAACAACAATAAGGCGCTTTTCAAGTTTGGTAAAGGCAAGCCAGCTAACACTGCAGCGTTTCAATACGACGAGAAGCCCGTCCTGCTTACTTTCAAGGATGTTCAACGAGCAAGGCAATTCATGGAGCTTAAATTACCGAACAGAGGATTTGCTGAAATGAGAGCCGAGTGGAAATGCGTAGTTGACGGCGACGGTCCGCCTGCAGATATTGCAGCCAGCGGGGCGTTCAGAGCATCGTTTTCGTCTGGTTCTGCTGCGCAAAACACCGCCGATGGACCAATTTCTATTAAAGACGCCGCGGCGATGGGCGTGGCTGTTTAAATCGTATACAAGCCTCCGATATTCAAAGACGCTTTCAATTGCGCATCCTTGACCCCCTTCGCTGCCCCCTTGAGCAACAGTCCATCGCAGAATAAGGTGCTCACCAACTATGTAGAACTCAAAACCCTTCCCGCGCAGCTTTATGAGTACCAAGTCAGGGTGAGTCCAGTGAGTGTAAAGAATTCTAAAGGCGAGATGGAAACGTTCCACATCAAGCAGCGAAACGTTCTGCAGCGTGTTTTCAACGCCCTTGGCAATCTACCCGCACTTTCTAGCTTGCGCTGGGCAACAAACTTCGAGTCTCTGTGGTCTTTGGAGCAAATTAATGGAGAGACCGGTGCCGACCCGGTCGGGCTGGTATTCGACACGAATTCCTTCTACTTCGAGAGCAGAGATGGTGCCCCGATGGAAATGCCGAACGTCCGCCTGCAATGCACACGCATTCTCAACCTGCGCAACCTCACGTCGGACCTGCGAGCGGGCAATGATTCTGGAAATCTGGAGTGCATCATTGCTGGACTGGACGCTCTGCTGACAAATGCGATAACGAGCTCCAAAAATCACAGCATACTCGATCCTTCCAATGTCAGCAGCTACTTCCTCCACCATGTCGGGCCGAACAAGTTCTTTCACAACAGCAGCGACTTTGACGTGTCTTCCACGCTGAAAGGCCACCGCGGCTTCTTCACGTCGGTCCGACCGGGACAAAAAAACATGATTTTGAACGTCAATCACGTCACGGGTTGCTTCTATCGCCCTCTCCTGGTCAGCGAGTTCATGCAGGAGATGCTGAAAGCCGGTGCCGGGATCGAGGACGTGAAGAACTCAGTGCTAAAGCTGCGCGTGCGGTTGACGTACGACCGACCCGCCTGCGACGAGAAAACGCCAAACTCCGAAGATCATCGTCGAAAATGCATTTTGGACGTCGGCGCAAGTCTTGAACAGCAGATGTATTCTACAAGAAGCGAGCCGACGTTGAGACGAAGAGTGTTGGACTATTTCAAAGGTAAGCGTCAAGGGGTCCATTGTTGTCACGTGCTGACCTTTTAGACATTTTCACAACGCACAAGTCGCTGTTTGATAAGACCGTGTATTGCGCGAATGTAGGTTCGAAGCTCAGACGCAGTATCCCAAAGGGCGATGAGAAGGGTTCAAACAAGGGTAAATGGAAGGCTGAGAAGCTAGATTCTAACGCTGCCGAGTTCAAGGATGACGAGTCCAGGATCGCTCTCGGAGATGGATACGAGAACTTTGAAAAAGCCGTGTGGATTCCCAGCAACCTGCTAGAGATTTGTACCTTTTCAGCCGTACAAGGCAAAGCTGAAGGGGGAACAGTCAGACGCCATGGTCAGATACTCCAGCGAAGATCCCACAACAGTTCTTGCCAGGATCGAAAAAGATGGGTTCCGAATGTTGGGTCTCGACGATCGGGCAAGATTCGTAAGTTTTCTAGACCGCGCGAGTCTAGTTGTGCTAACTGATGCACCCTAGCGTCGTCTCGACATTGACATCAGCACGAGCATGCTACAAGTCACGGCTGACCAACTGAAGCCACCGTCTCTGAAATGGAACCCAACGTCCGGGGGACAGCAGCCCCATAAGGCGTCTTGGATGATGAAGGACTGTCGCTTTTAGGCTAGTCCAGATTGTGGAGCTGTTCACGTATGTCCGCTTGTAGATGGTGGCGTTGAGAACAAGGCCAGTGAGCACGAAATCTCACACGTAGCTTCTTATTTGCAAACATGATCATACGGTTTCTGGAGCAGCATGGTCACAAAGTCCAAGACCGCAAGAATTCCCGCGTAGATTGCATCAATCTTTCGAAAGACACGCTCGAAACGTTCTTGAGCGATCGTAGCAGAAGTTCTCAGAAGCCCGACATACACGTTTTCATCCTGCCGGACTCGAGCGCGGACAGATATTATGCGCAGATCAAGTCTCTAACGGACCGTGGGTATCCAATGCACTCGTTGTGCTGCCTGGCATGGAAAGTAACCGGCGTTCAGATGGTTCGCGTGCGCGGACAACTCGTGCCGAGACGGAATCAAAAGGGCCTGGAAGTACGAAATCCCCCCTTCGACTACCTATCCAATCTTTGCCTCAAGATATGCATGAAGCTAGGCGGGGTGCCCTGGAAGCCGGAGGAGAAATCGCTCGAAGAACTTTTCGCGATTGACGAGGCTGCCAGGGAAGGGGAGACTCGTAAGTGCAGCTCTCAGCCAGTGGCTGCGACCGAGAAAGATAATGAAGCACCGCTCCAGCCGAACCGCTCCAGCCGAAGTTGACTCTAGATACCATCATCATTGGCGCGGACCTGACCCATCCTGGCTCTGCGTCAGGTCGGCCATCCATCGCTGCTCTCGTTGGCAGCATCGACGACTCCTTTGCTCGATTTCCGGGCTCCATGAGGCTAACTCCCGCACGAGAAGAGGTAATCGAAATAGAGCAGTTGTTGTTTTTTTCGTCTTCGAGGGATTTGTGCTGATTTGACGTAGATTATATCCGCTGAAAACCTCGCAGCCATGGTTGCGGAGCGCCTTCGGTCATGGTCTAGATATAATTCAGGCCGCTTGCCCAGCAAGATTCTGTTCTACCGAGATGGTTTAAGCGAGAAGAATGCAAACGGACGGAAATCGCGGCCGTGAAAGCCGCGTGGCTGCGCGCAGGGGCGGAGCATGATGAGCAAGCAGACGCGGATCAGAAGCTGGAGCTGACCTTTGTCGTCGTCGTCAAGCGCCACCACACGCGCTTCTTCCCCTTGACAAGTCGAGACGTGGTGGGCAGTCAAGGATACTCGTACAACACGAACCTGAAACCCGGCTTGCTGGTTCGAGACGAGGTGACGACGCCCCGGTATCCCAACTTCTATCTCCAGTCGCACAATGCGATTCAAGGCACCGCCAGACCGGCGCATTACGTCGTGCTTGAAAAAGCGCCGTCGCTGGAGATGCACAATCTGGAGAAGATTGTACGTTGCGAATGCTGAGTTCGCTACAGTACGCGGGTTTACCTTTACTCCCAGACAAACGCTCTGTGCAACGCGTTCCCCCGCGCCACCAAGGGGGTCTCGTACTGCGCGCCCGCGTATCTGGCCGATAGGCTGTGTGAACGAGGAGCAACGTACCTCAGCCAGTGGGCGGGCTTGGACGACTACATAGCGCATTGCGACGAGCTCCGAAGGAAAGAGTACACGACGAGGGCCGAGCAGAAGGAGTGGTTCGCGAAGGTTGCCCGCTATCTCAACGTCGTCTTCGAGGCGCGAAAGCATTGGATTCCAGAAACATCGGACGGCCAAAACCCATGGGCGGCTATGATGGACGACGTCATGTTCTATATGTGACCGATTCGTCAGAGAGCTCATGGATAGAGGGAGGGAGTGGGGGGAAGGGGGAGAAAAGGGGTTCAGTCTTGGGACGAAGCCATCGCCATCGGGATCTCGGCGACTGTCACTGACCGCCTTGGGGAGTTTCTGTTTCGAAATCTAGCGCAGGATCGCGAAGAGGAGTGTCTGATCCTCGGAACCTCTATCCTCTGTGGAAGCGACAGCATGCTCTGCCTGGGATTCATCGCATGCTTTACTTCAGCTGGACGAATGTGAAGCCTACTTTATCCTCAAATTGGACTTGAGTTAACTTGCAATGTGCGCAACGAACGCAAAGTGAATCGGCGCCGCCAAACGCAGAGTACAGACGACGCACTGTAGCGCAGTTGCATTGTGCGCGTTCATTTCGTCAAGCAGCAAGAGAAAGCGTAGACATCGAGCAAGCTTACACTGCGGGCGTCACAGGTGAGGGAACAGACTGAGTTCTTTTTCCGGTCGCTGCGACGGAGTCGCTGAAAAATTTCTGCTTCAGCAGCAGCCCATCAATGTACACAACTCATTTGGAAAATGGTCGGCTGGCTAACGAGCGTTCAAGTAGAGATTGAAGGGCCGCAGGCCAACAGTTCTGCCGTCTTTGGATGACGCACGACGACGCAAACGAGTATCACGGTATCCCGTTCACCAAGCACGCGAGGGCTCACTGGACGATTTACCACAGGAGCTGCTGCGCGCGTTAACGACAATTAAGCCATAATTTGGATGGAAACAACAAAAACAAAAACAAAAAACTCGCGGCGGAAAGGAGAACCGCGCACTTGCTGGCGGCCCGGCAGAAGGAAAAGACAAGACACAGGATAGAAAAACGTGGAATTTGGGTTTGAGTTGCTTGAGTGAGCAAGTGAGAGAGTGGTTGTGAGTGTTAAAGCGTTGGCGCAGTCGAATTCATTGCTATGCTACGGTTTCGTGGCGCTTCATCGCTGCTATCCCGCAAAATCTAGACAAAAGATGCGCGCTTGCTGCTCTTCGTGCTTCGTGCCTCAATTTGATGTTCGTCCTAACTGCCATTGAAGATGTCTCGCGTCGCTGAGCCCATCATCAAGCGACGGATGGGAAAGACGAGTGGGTAGACCGAGCGGTCGAAATGGTGGCGTTTGCGGGTGTTACTGCAGGCAGCCAGCCAGCCAGGTGCAATTTCCTCGCACTCAGTCCTCCATCTCCTCGTCCGGCACCTCGAAGTCCTCATCGTCCTCCTCGTCGTCGTCATCAAGCTCGTCCTTGTTCTCCTCGGCGGCTTTGGCGAAGTCAATGATCTTGCCGCGCGTACGGCGGCCGCCGGACACTATGTTGTCCATGTCGATGGCCTCCATCTCGTCATCTTCCTCCTCGTCTGTCACAACGCTGGCGTCAGCTTCGTCGCATCAACTTTTGGTGTAGATTGGCAGATCCAATGGCCGACCTACCGTCGTCGTCCTGAATTGATGGGTAGTGATTAGCTGAGTGCACGGCCAGAGAGTTGTACAGGTGATGGTTTCATACTCCGTGCTCAGGTTCAGAGTCTTCCTCGTCGTCGTCTTCCTCTTCGTCCATCATGCTGTCATCCTCTGGCGGAGCGGCCGACTTGCCCTTTCCCTTATCAACAACGTCGCTCGTAGAGGACTCGTCCACTGTGGGGACGGTGGAGCCTTGGTCCGCCATAGTTTTCTATGGGGGTTTTTGTGTGCTGCGATTATACCGCTGAAATGTGTGAAGGAAAACGGTGATGATTTTTGTTCGGGACAGGAAAGAGGGAGGGATTAGATGGGGGAAGGACGGGTGCCACAAGGAGCGGGAGAGGAAATGTATTGTTTACGAGACGAGAGCCAGCGAAGTGGGACTGTTTTGTCGCCGCAGACAGCCCAAGCAAAGACGCCTCCGGAAAACAAGCAGCAAAATAAGGTCGCGGTCCTCGTGCGCCGAATTCTGATTGGCCCGGAGCTTCTGTTTGCGGCCGTTAAGGTGCCTTGATGCCTAGAACTCATATTCCACCATTCGGCGCGTCACCGCGTCATCGACGCGTCCTCCACGCTTTCTGTCTCGCCGTGCCTATTCATGTTGCTGAATGGAAAGACGGACCGTCGCTGTGCCGTGAATTGAAGACTATACCAGCTCAATCCGACAGCGAGAACATGGCGCCAGCGCGAATCAGGGCCAGACCCGCCCGTAAGTCTCGCCAGCGACGGCCTCCCCCGCTCTCGCGTCGTCGCTGACTGTAGAAACTCACGCAGATCCGCCCGGTCCAACGTATCTTAGCTACACGCCGGACGGCTCCAAGCTGGTGACAGTTGGATTGGACAACCATCTTCGTGTTTACCACACAGGCTCAGACGCGGAACCCAACACCATTGACGAGTCGTCAGACAACAACACCGCGGTTGCAGCATCTGTACGTCTCACGTGTAGAATGTCTCGAATCAGCGTCTGCTGACTAAGTTCAGAATACTTTCTTCGTGGTCGGTTCTGAAGACGGAACAGTGTCTAAGTACTCCTTGGAAACAAACACGCTTGACGAGGTTCTGACCCGCTGCACCCTTCCTATTCGCGATGTCGCACTCTCCCCCGATGGCAATTGGGTCGCGGTGGCCAGCGATGAACTTTCCGTCAAGGTCGTCAACACCAGTGACATGATGCAGGTCATGCATCTCCGTGCCCAGCCCCGAGCGGTCAAGCATGTCACGTTTGACTCGAGCGGATCTCTCATATCTGTATCCTGCGTCGACGGTGCAGTCTACGTCTACTCACTCAGCTCTGAGGAGCCAAGGTTGATCCAAAAGGTTGAAGGCTTGATCAAAAGCCTGGAGACCGATGCAGAGGCCAGCTCGAAGGCCGTGTGGCATCCGGATGGACGCGCCTTCGGAGCACCAACAGGGACACGTGATTTCCAGGTTGTATCACGCGAAGACTGGGAGCCCCAGCGCGCTTTCAAGGACGGCCACGCAAGCGATATCACTGCAGCAGCTTGGTCGCCAAATGGCGCCATACTAGTCACAACCAGCATGGATCGCAAGATGTGTATGTGGGACACGAAAACTCAGAAGCTGCTTCGAACCGTGGATGACGTTCGTGCTACTGTGCTTGCAATGCAGTGGCATCCAACGCAGAATATTCTGTCTTATACCAACAACGATGGTGAGCTGTATATCCACACCGACTTCGTACCGGAGGAGTACATCGCCCTACTGCACAAACCTCTTCAGCCCGCACCATTCATACACGATCCGCTCCAAGAGACATCAGGCAACGCTTTGCGAACGCTAGTCAATGGTAATGGCAAAGACGGTCGCCTCGCTCGCCCCCGTGCGTTATCACCTGATTCACTCGACGATATCCTTGGCCTTGATCACATGTCGGATGTCGAGGCAGAGGGAGACAATTTCGTTGTTGATGATGATGGCAATGGCTACGCAGAGATCAACAGAAATGGCAAACGCACCAACGGACACTTACCGTTGTACGACGAACATAAATCAAAGCGGCCCTCGTACAGCGCGTGGGAGCCGCAGATACATGAGACATTCCAGCCAGGCAGTACACCGTGGCGGGGAAATCGCAAGTATCTTTGCCTCAATCTCACGGGTGTCGTGTGGACTGTTGACCAGGAAACACATAACACCGTCACCGTGGAATTCTATGATCGCGACTTCCACAAGGACTTCCATTTCACCGACCCTTTCTTCTACGACAAGGCTTGCCTCAACGGGAACGGCACACTTTTCGCTTGCCAGCCACGAGAAGACGAGCTGGCACAAGTCTACTACCGTCCGCACGAGACTTGGACTACGCGGACAGACTGGCGGTATTCATTACCGAAGGGTGAGCGCGTCGTATCAATCGCGCTGAGCGACAACTACGTTGTATGCTCAACCAGTGCAAATTATGTGCGAATCTTCACGCTGTTTGGTGTTCCCCTGCGCGTATATCGTCAGAAATCCTTTCCCTCGATCACCTGCGCCGCCTTCCGAGACTATGTCCTTACGATCGGCAACGGCCCCGTGGGCGGAGATGGACGGGCTCAGCTTTTGTACACCATTGAAAACGTGAAACGGGACGAGACATGCCAGAGCGAAGATCTGCTTCCGCTGCCGCCTGGCGCGGAACTTCGTAGCGTATTCTTTAGCGACAGGGGAGATCCGTGCATCTACGACACGACGGGCACTCTCCTAACGCTCTTGCATTGGCGCACACCTGGCCAAGCGAAGTGGGCGCCGCTCCTGGACACGAAGCAAATGGACCGTCTTGCGTCCGGCAAGAAAGAAGAGTCATACTGGCCCGTCGCCGTGGCCAACGAACGCTTCCACTGTATTATTCTCAAAGGCGGCGACAAGTACCCATACTTTCCGCGCCCCTTGCTCACTGATTTTGAACTGCGTGTACCACTAGGCCATGTGCCCCTTGCCAATGCCCACGGTGGCGATGAGCAGGACCAGGCGCCGTCTTTGATGGAATCGCAGGTCCACGAGCAGTCTTACGTGCTCAACTCGCTCCTGCTGACGCTGATCACGGATCTTGTCGAGAACACGCGCGCATCGCCTTCGCAAAAGGTGGAACTCGCTAAAAAGACGCTCGATGTGGACAAGTCTCTCCTGCAGCTGCTCGCCGTCGAATGCAGAGAGGGCGGCGAAGAACGCGGCATGAAGGCCCTCGAGATCGTCGGCCTGATGCGCGACACCTCGGGCAAGATGATGGACGCCGCGGTCAAGGTTGCGAGACGGTACGGCATGGACGTGCTGGCTAGCAAGATTGTCGAGCTTGCTGAACGGAGGATGGTTGGACTTGTGGACGACGACAGTTGATCGAGGCAAGACGTTAGAAGAAATGTCACATCGGAGACTATCCGGGTGGAAAGTTCTTTTTTTTTTTCTTTCAAAGGGTAAATGAGCGATACCATGACTTAGCATCTCTCGACCGCTTCGAGGGGAAGGTTTCCCAGACTAAAACCGTGAGCTGTGCTCAGAATTGTAGTAAGCGTACAGCGGGCATGGATGATGACAAGAGAAGTGACTCGGAATTAATTACTCTGCATTCGACGATCTCTAGCTCGAGAGCGGGCAGCGCTGTGCTTTCTCCGTACGTTCGCAAAACAATCTACACGTCGAGAACAGCGCACATCTGTCAATTGCTTTACAGTATATGCAGACATCCGCATGGTAGCCCTGAAACTCAACCCGCGGCAGCAGTTCTCGACTCTCCCCCGAGTGTTTTGAACATGACAAACCTTTGCGCGTGCGAAATGCTCTGATTCATTCCTAGTCCTCTGCGGTATTCAAGAGTTTAAACTTTGCGAATGTACGAATGGACTGCAGACATCTCCTAGGCTGAGATGCGACGCCCAAGACAGAAACCGAGGTGACAAAGAAGCATATTCGGGAACGGATAGAGGCGCGACAGAGTCACGGCCAACAAGAGCGTTGGCGTTTTGTGCGCACGCATGGGCGCGTTCTGTGGGTCTACTTTCGGCGGCGAGGGACGGGCATTTTACTAACTTAACTGCTTTTGTCCGTGCAACGCGGCACTGCGTCGTTTAAATTGAGATTCGAATTCTAGAAGGGGGACCTTTTTTCGGCGCGTCGGTAGCAATAGCTAGCTCGCCCGTCGGCTTCAAGGACAAAAAAAGCGTCAAAAAAAAACCCGCAATTCCTGCAAGAGGCAAGGTTTCCTGTCGTGCAGATGATCAACGCCGGGGCTCCACGTTTCTCGGCTCGATTTTAGCGCTGAAGCGTGCTAGTTCAGTGTCTGAAAACGCCCCTGTCAAGTGCCTCGATTGCGACTGGAAAAGCCCATACTGACTTATATGATTGCAAGCATCGCACGTGTGCTAACATCCCGCTTTGAGGACTGGGGCAACAACAGCAGTAGAGCCCACGGCCATATGTTGACTCGCTTGATGAAAGTCTGCGCATTGCAAGTGACTCGGCGACGCTGCCCTATGCTGGACAAAACTGTCCGTCAGCGTGTGAAAGCATTCCCACTTCGGTCAGTGGCCACCGTATGTAATCCCACCATGCAGTGTCGAGATTGGCTCTGACCACTTCAACCACGCGCTGTCCCCAAGTAGCCAGCCACCTGATGAAAACATGAGCACCCGTACAATGCGGCACGTGTTCACGGAGTCCTACCAAGTGTCTTTCGCCCAGTGAAGCTGTACTGCCCAGTGAGCAAGTAGGATCAACGGAATTGGCTCCCGCGCCTCCATTTCGACAAGTAGCTCGTCTGAAATCCTTCCGACGACAACAAGTAGGAATGCGCAGCTTGTGGAGCGGGAGCTGGCTTTCCGAATACTCGTCTTCATAAACGCTATCGCTTGAAAGTAGCGAAGCTTGCGCTCCTTATCGTCCACATTAGCTTCTATGCGCCGCGTTAGCATGTCGAGGGACCCGTCCGAACCGGGCGACTCTGGCACCATCTAAAGGAACACTGTCAGCATGCGCTTTTCAGAATGGTCGGAGCTGTGCAACGGTACCTGTCGGTTCAACGTGATGAACGATCGGCGAATATGGGGGATCGTCTGCTTGTCAAGTGACAGCTGCCATCCAGCCCTGAAGATGGCCAAGGTGCCTCTCATGAGGCGTGAGATCTCGACGACGCGCCTGATCATGTCAAGATTTCCCTCGCCCACGCCCGCAATGGCCCTGCCCATGGCGAAGCAACACGTCACGACGAGGAGCGAGCTCGTAAACATACCTTCGCAGGTCTCTTCCGTCACGCGGTGCGAGTTCGGCACCATCTGCGACAGAGCCTTGTTCTGATAGTAGATGCCGCGCGCGAGGTACTTGCTTTGGGACGCCTGCGTGTGGATGGCCAGGTGGAAGGCTGACAAGGAGAGGATGTTGTACAAGACGTAGGTGTTCACGACGCCTTGGCGTTGGATCAGTCCGTCCCATAGGCGCAAGGGCTTCTAGAAACGGGCATCAGTCGCGCACTCGAATCGGCAGGGGCAGCAGAGGTGGTGCTCAAGTTCGTACCGATAGATCGTCCACAGCAAGAAAGGGCCTGATCGACGTGAGGAAGTGGTGCATTATCGTTCGCGCCGCCGGGTCGCAGGAGACGTGGTGCGCGACCGCCCTGCTCAACGGATGACTGTCCAGGACGTAAAAGGGCACTGGCGAGTGGGCCAGCTCGATCTGAAAGCTGCAGGCCTGGTTTCTCCTCGAGCATCTCGTGCAACTCGGCTTCACCTCGTCGCACTGTCCGGCCAGAGGTCAGAAAACGATGCGAGCTTCCAGCATCAACCAACACCCATAGGACGCGGTTCCAACCCACCTTGACGCGCGACTTCTTGCACCGCGCGCAGCCGTGGTGCGATCTTGGGGTAGAGCGACGCGACATCCTGATTAGAGACGTGGATAACGACGAGGAAACATGGCTGTCATCTTAAAGATCCGTCTAATCAATAAATCTTTCCTCTCTCCGTCGAGGTCGAGGTGGGCCTCCCCTGGTTGCGGTAAACGAAGTTGTCGTAAGCGTTCGCGGGGCGCAGGCCAACCAACGCTCGAAGATTTCCAGGCGTGCTGCCGCCTTTGTTGCAGGACGACCACGTGCTTCAGGGAATATAAAAAATTCGTTTCATCACGTCCGAAAATTAATGCTGGATCAATGAAGAACTCAGGCAGGAAAGGAAAATCAGGGACACTGCGTGAAAACCGGTGGCGAGAATACTCCGCATTAAAAGCGCTATGCCAGGTACGTCTCGACATGCTACAGGGTCAAATGCACGGCGTACTCCACCGTGTCAAAGACGTACCATCAAAAGTCGTGTTCTGATGTCCGCGTGGCATCGGCTTGATGCCACTACTATATGCTTGCCTACACAAGATCCCCTCAGCCTTGTACGGACCTTTACATTCTCCTCGAACGCCATGCTCTGATGCAATAAAATCGACAGGAGCGCGGATGAAGAACCCCTTACATCCCTTAACAAACCTCTTGTGTACCTCATGAACTTTGTGAGGTTCCCTACAAATGGACCACGCCGGAAGGAAAAAAAAACAGGCAATTTTCAACGTCGGGCACCTTGACTTCGTGCTTGGATCTTTCTAAATGCGGCATCACTCTTCGACGCAATAGGACGCCCGCCGCCCTCGACGGCATTCGGCTTCGGCGCAATCGTGTAGGTACTTAGACCACCTTGAATGCGAGCACGATTTGCATAAGTCGGGTCCTGAAGAGCTCGCTCGCGGGCCAGTTCTTCCGCAGTTTGACGGCCCGTCCGAACTGGAATCGTGGGACTAAAAAGGCAAAGAAAAAAAAGTTAGCAGGGAACACGTCGTGCATGATATCGGAAGAGAACAGTACCCTTGATTGACGCTGAGGTCGCGGTTGCGATAATCGTTCGGCCGCTTGAGCATGAGTGACATCCACTTGGTAAGCAGCCTCTCCGCAGCGCGCTTAATGTTCGGTTCCGGCTTCTTGCTCTTGGTGTAAAAGAGAACACATTGCCCCAGCTTCGTGTCTCCCCGCAGCTCCTCGGCGCCGATTGGGAGCCTGGGAAGCACATCGAAGAGAGCCTTTTGAATGGCGTACGCAGGCAGGGCGCCGTCCGGAGCCGATGGTTCGAGGAAAAACGTTATGCTACGCAAAAGGTCGTTCTCAGGGTCGACGATGGACTCTTGAATGGCACCGCCGCGATTGAGGAGTGCAGTGACCTCAGGAAGCAGTTGCAGCTTTGCCATGGCTGGTTCATGGCGTTGACGAGCTTCGGAATCAAGGCGAGCGGCTTCTGCCATTCGACGAGCCATGCGAGAGACTTCCTCGTCCGCGGCTTGCTCGAGATCCTATCCGCAAGAGAGGCCAGTTAGCACGAGATACGGTGAGCATGAGTGTCAGATGGGTCGAAAAACGCACAATACCATCCTTCTTGCTAATTCTTGTCTTCCCGCTCTTGAGAGCTTCGTCCATTCGCCTGTCAAGTTCACGCCTCTTTCTCTCTTCAGGTGTCAGAGTGCTCTCGTCGACTTCGTCTCGTCTGCGATGACTACCGCCTTCCCCATCGTCGGCACGCCTTCGTTTTCTGCCTCCCTCAACGTCGTCGCCTCGCACATACTCCTCACCCGCTTCTCTTCTTCGGCGCGCCCTCTTCTTCTCCGACCGGTCTCTTCGCCTTTCCTTCTTCTTCTTCCGCGTCGCGTCGTCACCCTCACCCTCGGCCCGTTTGCGCTTGTGCACGCCCAGAAGCTTCACATTCTCGTCGTCGATCGCGATCTGCTGTCGATCCTCGAGCGAGATGGCGGCGGGATCGAAGTCCTGGAACTGTGCTTCGTCGACGTCCGAAAGCAGCGACTCGTTGTCGGAGACGTTATCATCATCGTCGGCGGCCGCTTTTTCCGAGTTGTTCTCGCTTGCGACGGTGTCCTCGTCCGCAGGCGCGTCTGCGTTGTCCTCTGTGGCCTCTGCTGCTAATAAATCGTCTGGTTCAGCGCCTGCGTCCGGAAGCCCGACGTCGGCCACAGGACTATCTGCTTCGTGCATGGGCAAGTTCTCATCCAGATCGTCCATTGTGAGAGCGAACGCAGGCAGTTCGATGGCTTGCGTAAGTGCGAAGGGGCAGAGATCTGGCCTGTTATTGAGTTTGGTTGTTGTGGAAAGCAAAGAAATGGGAGGTTTGCTTTTGGGGCTGTTGCGGCGAGGGAGATGATTGGCCTTGCAGCCTTGAACCTTGTTATCCGAAGTCCCAATTCGGAAAACAATATCTTTTCCTCATTCAAAGTCCATTGACTGTCTGCGTCTGCTTCTCCTTCTACAATCCGCGCTCTGAAGACAGTCTTCTATCAATCACACCTGACAACGCTCTCATATCCGGGGAATAAATCATCACTCCGGCAGTTTTGACCGCTCCCCTGACGTTCTACTCGCAAGCATGTTTGGAGCACGTAAGTTTGAAACCGGGCGATGATATCACAAAGCAAAATCACTAACTAGACAACCAGCACAGCAAAGCCCCGCCGAAATCAAGGTCCATCGCTCCATATGGCCGAATTGCCTCCAAGAAACCAAGAGCTAATGTAGAAAGAACAGGCAATGGAGGAAGTCGCGTCGCAAATGGTCTACGGGACTGTGGCCACCTGCGTGGTCTTGTACATCTGTATGCCGCCTCGCCACATATCCACTAGCAAGACCCGGGCTGTGACTGACACTGGAACAGCGCCTTTCGTGGTTAAATTCGTTCGCAACCTTGTATAGATGGATCAGTCTCATCACATCGCGGATCAAATGCATCGGTTCGGAGTTTCGCGCCTTGAACAAAGAAACACAGTCGACCTTGGCATGTGGCATCAGGACGGTTGGCATGGGATATCTTTTTCAGAGCTTTTTTTCTCACTGTGTTCTGTATGGGACAATAGAAAAGGAACTGGGGAGGGGGCGTGGGTGCGACGTCATTCGAGCAAGATGGTGCACATGCGTGGCCTAGCATTCCCGGATCCAAAATTGTATTTCCATGTCGATACTTCATCCTACCACGCGCCTCGTTAGGCTAGCTCATTGTCAGGAAGGCGTTGTAGGGAGATAGGCTGTCAAATCTTGAGCTCGCTACCTCGTCACCATGGTTCCGGTTCATTTGGTTAAGAGTATTTTGTGCTCATGTCCTATCATTTTACCTAAAATAAGACTACACAACTCGTGCTATAGAGACCATGATGTATCGCTGAAGCAAGCATCCACAGTATCGGAAACTTCGAATCCTTACTCGAGCACGGCACAGCGGCTACGTCTCCAATCCTCTCTTCACTTCATTAAAACCATATCAGAAGCACCCAGCACGCCTGGGGTAGTTTAGAAATCACCGCCGAAATCTCCACCTCCGTCGTCACCACCAAAATCGCCTCCGTCGCCTCCGTCCATCGCATCCGCGAGCAGGACGCCACCTAGCAAGCCACCACCCACGCCCAGGGCAGCGGCGCTTCCGGCGCCGAGACCATGCCGCTGTGGTCGAGCCTGCTGCACCGGGTATCCGCCTTGAGCATAGTATCCTTGTTGCGGCGGGTATCCGTAACCAGGCTGCGGTGAGCCGTAGTTGTAGCCTTGCTGGGGATACTGCTGTGCGTAGGCCGGCTGCTGCGAGGAACCCTTCGCTTTGCCGAGCAGCTTTCCTAGGAAACCGCCCTTGCTCTTGCCGCGCGCGTCGGCGCTGGGGACAGCGGACTGGTTCTGCGAAATTTGACTCGGATCGTACGGCGCCGGACTTTGGGAGCCGTAGGGCCCGCCTGACTGCTGCCCGTACGGCGCCGGACCGCCGGCACCGGGCCCTTGGTTGTAGTAGTTGTCTGCCTCGCCGCGGTCGCCTGGCGGGCCCTGGACGCTGCCGCCAAGGCGGGCATTTTCCTCCTCCTGGAGCTTGCGCGCGAACTCCTCGTCGCCGCTGGTGTCGACGTGACTTGAACTACCGGCAGCACCGTCGCCGGCAAAGAGTTGCCCACCGGTCGTATTGCTGCTTACGGCGCCGCTCTTCTCCGGGCCAACGGGTTTCGTTTGCGAGTGATCGTAACCCGGCGGCGCGTCTTCTGGTGGCTCGTCGTCGGGCGGCCCGTAGACGGGCTCCGTGGGCTTCTCCCACTGCGACTTCTTCGTGAACGTGTTGACGTAGAACCATTCCTTGTACTGCTCTGCCGCCGCACGTCAGTTTATCTTTCGTCCAGATTAAAAGCAACCCGCTTCTATCGTAGTAGACTTGGGCAAAGAGAGCCATGATTGGCTGGACGTACCGTTCCAAACGGCTTTCCATCCCTGAGGAATCTGCGGCGGCGGTGGACCCTATTCATGCTGTTAGAACCCAGCCGCGATCTTGCATATGGGGGATTTCCTGTCTTGCTGTGCAGTGCCGCGGGTGCAGCACTTGGGAAGCTCAGCTTGGCGTAACGTACCGCGGGGGGGGCAAAGTCCGCCATTCAGTCGGTGGTAGGACTGCGTCAAGGCGTTGCGAGATAGTTATCACCTATGTCTCGCTAAAACTTAGAAGGTTGACGGGAGTAGGGAAAGATACAGGAGCGGCTGTAAAGACCGTAAGCGTGGGCCTTTTTGTCTCGAACGCCGAATTCACCGGGTCCGTCCTGAGCCGTGCGGGTTACAAAGCGCTGGCCAACGTCATCTTCAGTGCAGTTGACGCCACATTGTGGCGCAGCACAATTGCTCGCTCAAGTAAACCATTTTGAAGCGAATTTTACGAGACAATGTGAGAAATGCCGCATATAGGGACGGAATAATTTCGCGTAAAGTTTGAAAAGCAGAGTGTCAACCTAACTACTCATGCTTACTGCCGTCAGTCCTCAGTTCAGCAGTTCGCGACGCTTCTTTGCTAACAGTCGCTATTCCGCCTGCTGTTATGTCATACTCCACGCCCTGTTCCAGTGAGGGGGCGGTCCAAGGCGCAAAGACGACTCGAATCCACCGCCTGCTCTTTTCTCGGTCGCCAAGAACCTGAGTCTCTTTGATGAGAGCAATTCGAGCGCTGATCTGATTCGTCCACGTTAGCCCGAGGCAAGGCGTTTTCAGGTTCAGATGACCTGGTATGTGTGCTGGAAGATCCCCCCAGCCAGTAAACCACCGTTGCTGTTTATCCAAGGTTAGCGAGTCGGGTGTCGCACTTGATGTTCCGGAGGACGCAGGCGGATGTGAAAATGTTGAGACATTCGTCGCTGAGAAGCGATCGGTTATTTGATTCGAGACGACAATGGCAATGTTCTCAGTGCTGGCTAGGTTGCGGAGAAAAGCGCCGATTTGCACCAACTGTGGCCTCCGCTCAGCCATAGACCGACGCGAGCGTCTGTCCGACGGTGGTACACTTTGGCTAGATATTCGCGATTCGTCATTTTCTGCCGTGCCTTGACTTGGCCGATCGAATTCCGCGCGAAAGTTTGCTGCGATCGAGTCAATGACAAGGAGACGGACTCTTCTTCTTCGGACGGCGACAGGAACTTGGTACCGTAGGATGTGCTCCTGGCTCTCCAGATCTGGAGTTTGGATGCTCAGGACTCGATCTAGAGTAGGCTTCTGGGGCGCTGAAAGAGTAGACAACACCGGATGCATTTTCAATAGCTGATTCAGACGCGTGGTGGACAACGCAGCCTCAGTCGAGATGTACAGCGCACATCCATCCAAGCCTCGGGGTGAGGGAAGCTGCACAGAAAGAAGCAATGTCAGGAGGAACTGGGTCTTGCCTACACCACTGCGTAGGTGAGATTAGCAGGAGTTGTGAAGATAAACCGAATGGTGCAGTAGCCCGCACCTTTCGCCTGCAATTTCGATGACATGGCCAGGCCTGAGTCCTCCTCCAAGGGAGGCATCTATGTTGGCATCTAGCGTGCTTATGCAGGGCTCAGGTTGCTCTCCATCTGAGAATCCAAGTTCTAGTGTCGACCTTTTCGTTTTCTCGATATCGATCTGTATAGCCTGCACAACAGCATCTGAGAGCTTCGCAACCTCGGCGGGCGGCACCTGTGCACGCTTGGCGATGTCGTGGGACGGCACACTGATCAAGTCGATAGTCGATATGGAAGCCTTGTCTAGGGAGGGGAGTATGTGGCCATAAGACACCGACTGGAAGTCCGGGAGCACGTGCAGGATGTCGCACATGGCGCACGCTCCGCGTTGAGACACTCGTATCTCTTGCGTCAGCCGGCAGTGCGTCGTGGTTTTCTACGCGCCATCACGTGCCTTTGCCATGAAGCACAGCTGGTGCCAATCTGGCCCAATCAGAACCAAGAAACGTCAGCGTAAGTCGAACCAGAAGCGGCCGTGTGCAAGAGATTGAGAGGTCTACGCACGGCTCGGAACCGTGTGGTAGAGAACGTCCGTGATGTGGATCAGGCAAGCCTTCCAGCCTCGGACAGAAGAGATGCTGTGATGAGCTTGGGCGTGTGCTATTCAGATGAATGAACGTGCAACTCCTTATGGCAAATGCTCGCACATAGTTCGGAGCTAGGAATGGCCGATCAGAGGGAAAGCCAGCGCGAACGTGGAGTGCATTCTGGAACGGACAGCAAGTGTGGCGCATACCCTTAGCGCGGTTCGAGACAGACTGTGGCTTGACTGCAGACTCGGGCCAACGGAGCAACAGATGACGACGTGATCGCGCCTGCTCCATCAGTCCCAGGTCGCACCCGCCCGAAACGGTTAAAGATGCAACAGGGAAGCAACGACTGGTTGGAGCAACTGAGGCAGGCCGGCAGGGGGAAAAAGACGGAAGTCGCAATTCAGCGGTCGCGCTGTCGTGATCTGGACGCGACCGCACGAGGTTCAACGGTCAAACGTCAACCGCAGCGACAGCCAGCAACGATCAACACAATATCATTCATGACCTAGCACGGTGAACAGTCTGAACAGAACGTCTAGCCGCGAGTCCAACACCCGCGGTTGCACTTTTGATAGCACAGCTGATTACATCACCCGCAGCTCCATCTCCGCCTTCCATGGCCCTGTGACCTTGCTCTTCTTGACCACTTTCGCGTCCAGCGACATCTGCAACGTTCTCACTTCATCATTCTGTGCCGCCGTGTGCTGTCCTGTGCTGACCGGTGACCGAGTCTCCTCCAGGACCAGCAGCCGTCTTTTTCTGCTGTCTCATTGTTGACCACCGTGGTCATCTGGTGTTGGCTGCACGTTGTGGCTGGGCCATTCTGGTTCCGACGTCCCGCGCAAAAAAAGCTCTCCAGCCAGTTCCACCAGAACGCAAACTTCCTTACGACCGCGCGAGGTTCCCTGCCCTGCATACTCGGCTATCACGCTCTTCTGTCGCAGTCTGGGGTGGCCTCCCTTCCTGCGTGCTTCCTATTTGCCGGATTTGCGACATGATTTAATCGTCGTCGCACGTTCAGAGCCAGACCTGTCTACCTGTCGTCGGTATCTGTTTTCCGTTCGCCATCTTTCGGCTGTCAACTGCGACCAATCGTGGTCCCATCTCGCCGTCTTGTCTGATTTCGGTGAGTGCACGCTATTTCGATCTTACGCAGCAGAGCTTACTCGCCGTGTTGTGGAAACGTACTGCCTTTACTTTCTTTGAGGGGTCGAGTCCACACTGGTCATCCCGGTAAGTACATCAGAGCCGCCCGCTTTTACCGAGAATCACCACCTCCCACCAACCAACCATGTGGCATCTACCCGGTCACCCGGGTAATGCATTTCCTATGCTCACGTACCAAATGTGTCCGCCCGCCGAGTATCTGGCTCAGTCCGCATATCACATGTCGGCTAAGACGTTGGCCGCTTGATCAGCATGCTTCCCTTTCGTCCAGGCAACTAAATTAGTTCCCATTTATATGGACCGCATGCGCCGTCACTTCGCTGCTACGAACGTAGCCACGCTCAGCGTGAAACTCGTTGGCGAAAGCAGCATCAATGCCTGCGTATTGTCTTCAAGATTGTCACTACTTCTACCGCAGCGCCTTGCGTCTGCTTTCGTTGCCCACCTTCGTCTGTGCATTGTACGCTTAGCTAACACGATCCCCGCGCCATGGCAGTAAAGCTATTCACCAGACCAACGTCCCTGGACGGGAAACTGGCGACCGTGCCCGAGAACTGTGCCATGCCCCAGGGCAACGGACCATCTGAGCAGACGCGCTTTGCCGATGCCGCAAAGGAAGTTACGCAGACCTATTATCAGGACGAGAAGTCGCCCTTGAGCCACCGCAATGGGAATTCAAAAGCTGGTATCACATTTGCTTCCCAAGATAAACTTCCTAGACTTCCCATACCAGAACTTGAGTCGTCCTTGAAGAAGTATCTCAACGCCCTGAGACCGCTGCAATCGGCCAAGGAGCATCGCGAGACTGAGGCTGCCGTCAAGGAGTTTTTGAGAACGGACGGCCCCAAATTGCAGGAGAAGCTCAAGGAATATGCCAAGGGGAGGCCAAATTACATTGAACAATTCTGTTAGTCCAATGCAGGTTTCTTGCCCCGACCTCACTTACTTACCGTGTCAAGGGTACGACTCGTATTTAAACTTTGACAATCCAGTCGTTCTCAACTTGAATCCTTTCTTCCTGCTCGAAGACGACCCGACACCAGCACGCAACAATCAAGTGACCAGAGCCGCATCCCTTATTGTCTCTGCACTAGCTTTCGTCCGCGCGGTTCGGAAAGAAGAGCTCCCACCTGACACCGTGCGCGGACAGCCGCTATGCATGTATCAGTACTCTCGACTTTTTGGAACGGCTCGAATACCCACAGATCATGGCTGCCAGATTGGGCAGGATCCGGACGCGAAACATATCGTTGTCATGTGTCACGGCCAGTTCTATTGGTTTGATGTGCTTGATGACAATTCGGATCTGATAATGACAGAGAAAGATCTTGCCGTTAATCTGCAAGTGATCGTCGACGACGCATCCGAAACGCCGATTCAGGACGCCGCAAAAGGTGCTCTTGGCGTGCTCAGCACAGAGAATCGGAAGACGTGGTCTCAACTCCGAGATGTTCTGCAAAGAGAAGAAGGGTCCAACAACTCAGACTGTCTCAGTATCGTCGACTCCGCGCTGTTTATCGTGTGTCTGGATTACACCGAGCCACAAACTGGAGCCGAATTGTGCATGAACATGCTTTGCGGTACGAGCAAGGTTGAAAAGGGAGTCCAAGTGGGAACCTGCATTAATCGTTGGTATGACAAGTTGCAAATTATCGTGTGCAAGAACGGCAGCGCTGGCATCAATTTCGAGCACACGGGCGTGGATGGCCACACTGTTCTTCGCTTTGCTTCAGACGTTTACACAGACACAATTCTGCGCTTTGCTCGGACCATTAACGGCCAGGCCCCCAGCCTCTGGGCGTCCTCGAGTCCTGACCCCGCAAAACGAGATCCAGCAAGTTTCGGTGATGTCCAGACGACTCCTCATAAACTTGAGTGGAACATGCTGCCAGAGCTAAGCATTGCCCTTCGCTTTGCGGAAACTCGTCTCGCGGATCTGATACAACAGAATGAGTTCCAGACACTGGAGTTTGGGGCCTATGGGAAGAATTTTATGACATCGATGGGCTTCTCACCAGACGCCTTCGTGCAAATGGCATTTCAGGCAGCTTATTATGGCCTATACGGACGCATCGAGTGTGTTTATGAGCCGGCCATGACCAAAGCCTTTTTCCACGGTCGAACGGAGGCGATCCGTTCCGTAACTGAAGAATCCGTGGAATTCGTACGAACTTTTTGGGGTGACAAACCCGCAAATGAAAAGGTCGAAGCCTTACGCAAAGCTTGCGAAGCACATGTCAAGATCACCAGGGACTGCGCAAAGGCCCTAGGTCACGACCGTCATCTTTATGCGCTTTACTGTGTCTGGCAGCGTTCTCTGGATGAAGGCTACGAGACGGGCACAGATCAGGAATCATATGGTGACAGGTCAACCAGTCCACTACCCGGAAACGACCAGTCGATTGTGAGCTCTCCGAGTAGGAGGTCGATGGTGTCGGAAGAAGGCTCATATAATGGCAGCTTTGCCGGGCACGTCACCCACACCATGCCTGCATTGTTCGCTGACAGTGGCTGGGACAAGCTGAATACAACAATTCTTTCGACCTCGAACTGCGGAAATCCATCTTTGAGACATTTTGGTTTCGGGCCAACCTCCGGTGACGGCTTTGGCATTGGCTACATAATCAAAGACGGATCCATAAGCATTTGTGCGTCGTCAAAACATCGACAGACCAGCCGCTTCATTGATTCACTGGAGGCGTACTTTCTCGAGATTCGAAGAATTCTGAGGCAGACAAAGCGCCGTGGAACAGGCGCTGACAAGACTGTATCTCGAGTGCGCGAGGTGGAGGAGCAAAGCAAGAACAGTCGAATCAAATCGCGGGGCCGAAACATCTTGACTGATACGGCGAAACCAATGACGCCTCAGACGGAAAGTGTGCAGGAGAGTGATGATGAGGGCCTAGGCGGATGTAAGCATCCCTTTTGTCCTTCCAATATTTCATCGTACGGCATCTTTCGTGGGAGAAAACCCGTCGCATCTCGACAGCGTGCCGACTCAATGTTGGAACGTTCGAGCTCCTCGGAATCTGTATCGTCGGACGACGGCAGGGCCATGCAGCGGACAGTAGGAGTTGTTATCACTAGTTGTGCTGTCTCTGACGCTAGCAACGCTTTCGACTTTGGTCTTGCCACGCCACCGGCCACACTTCTGAATTCCATGCAAGATATCGTCGTCAGCACGCCGGCGTCTTCTCAACGCGCTGTACCAAAACGCATGCCCACCAGACCGAGGAGACGAATTCCGCATTTTTCATTTTTGTAATCACACTTTTGTAGCACGATTATTGCATTGTATACCCAAACACTTATAGACACACCTATCTTCGGATTCATCGTTCACTTACTGATTCATGTTTTGATATAGACGGATTTTTCGATGCAGGAATGCTGCAGCAGGCACTCAGAGCGAACAGGGAGGCAGACACAGACAGTCCCAGTGCGGAGCGCCGCAGACATTTAGGTCGCAAGCTGACACTGTCCGAATACTAGCTTTGCTGTCTCTACGTGGACAATGTTGCTATGCAATGTTTCAAGTTGATGTTACATCTAGCAAGCGATATTTTGGATTAGAAATAACATTTTCTATCTTCGACAGCATTCCTGCGCGTCAACACTTCTTGCTCGTTTGTTTGACTTCCTGACAGCGGCTGAATTGTGTCAAAGCATCAAGTCAAGTAAAAAGACTCTGATACGTCGTAACACTGCTACTTTCGTACAAGACGGGTAGTTGCATTATGCATTCAAGAGCTTGGAACGCTTCCATGAGAATAAATTCAAAAGTTTGGTCAGCAAATTCTGGGATCGAACATGAGTTAATTGAGACTCGCTATAGGATTATTCTCTCATCTCTTCTTTGGATATTGGAATTCTTGGATTCCCTGCTTTGCCATCATCTTTTTCATCATCTTCATATACTTGTTCTTGCCGTGGTGTCTAATGGATTCAGGTAAATGAGGATACACGGCGAATAATGACTTCAGCACCATTGCATTACGAAACCTGGTCATCCTCGTTGATTTCAGACCGTACTGATCACGGATCTTGGGCGGAAATGACTCCACCGTCAAGGCCTTTAAGGTAGGCATCAGCATGAAGAATACAGGCTTCATGTACCATGGCGTTGCCTTCCACGGGTGCATGAGATCGTAGCAGACTTTCTCGGCTTCAGGCGTGACTTCGAGCTTGTTCTCGATCATGTCATTGTAATATGCCCAGAAGGCGGCTCTGTCCTTGGGCCACAGCTCCGGAGGCATGTTCAGCGATGTCCCCAGATAGGAAAACTCCCTGTAGATGCGTTCGGCTTTCTCGGGCGGCTCGATCGGACCGTACACTTTCTCGTAGTTCCTGATTATGTCTGCATACATGGTTGCGGCAACCCATAGCTGCGCCTGTGCGTGATTGATCAGTCTTCGGAACGGATAAGGAGCCTTTCTCACAGTGCTAGTTGGAAACGTAAATGTCATCTGGGTGACTACACAACTACATGATCACATCTGCTGGAAAGGGAAACGGCTTACTAAGAAACAGTTAGCAAATTTATCTGTTTACAGACCAATGATGTTGTTGATCCCCACCTTCAGGGTCCTTTGCGTAGTACGCTGTCTTCCCTTGTCCGCCTTTTACTCGACCATGCATCTTGTTCACATAGTCTCTCATGGCGGCTTTCTCATATGGTTCGCCAAAAACCATTACGTATACGTAAATTCCAGTTTTATCAGCTCTGTCTTTTGCTCGATTAGGTACAGAGAACTCGCTGTGGATGCCAACACCACGACCGACTACCGGATGAGCAACTTGAAGCAATACTGTGGTGAGGCCGGCCATGTATCCGATAAACTCGCTGATGATGGGCTTGATCTCTTCGATCGGTGCGGCTGGCTCGTAGATGGCGTCGCCAGTGGAAGTAAACGCAAGCCCTTTCTCGAGGTCCACACCCTGAGAGAGCGAATAATCGGTCTCCTTGCTCCTTTCCGACTCTGAGTTTCGATCATTCTGCTCGTTTCCAACGTGCACCATTATTTCGATTTCAGACTAATCAATAAAGACTAATTCGCGAGGGAGGTAAGAAGGAAACTTGAAAATGAGAACGGGTCAAAAGCTGACTGTATTCTGGGATAATACAAATCTATTTGATTCAAGATAGTAGCTAAAATGTCGGCGAATAACACCACCGATCGTCCTCGGTTATCTCGCCCGTTATTATGATCCAGCTCCATGGGGTTGCGTCGTGAATCCACATTTCTGGCTCGCTTGTGGAGGATGGCATGTCATAGCGAATGCCATGACAGCTCTCGCAGCATCTCCTCGGGGAATTAGGGCCTTCCCGATACACATGATGTTTAATCTGCATCCATGTCTATTCTACTGTGGCTCTACTGTAAATGTATAGACATCTCCGATTGAGGAAAGACGAGAATGCATCTAAAACTCTCGTGGGTCCGTTTAGGCGACTTGACCGTGCTGGTTGCGGTAATAGCCTTCGTTATACTGGAAAGACAAGTGCTCATAAAGATTCTGCTTCGAGTCGAATCAAGAGAGCAAAATTGCATGTCCTTCACGCACGCCAAGATCTTAACCAGCTACGCCCCATGGGGGATTTTTCATCCACGGCCTTTTACAGGGAGCATGGCTCCTATAACGCAGTCCAGTTTCAAGCTAGGTCGATTTTTCCATCGACATATCATAAGCAGTCGGGCCAGACCGAGCACGAGCTATGACATTGTTGCGGGTAACCGGGGGCATTGAACCTCCCTGCATCGCATCCTTCTGGACACAACAACAGTAACGTCTGCTAAGAGTGAACCAGCCGTGATATCCACTTGACAAGCTAGTTAATCCGTATTTTGTCCGCGCCAATCGTGATGTTCTTCCACATTCACAATATTTTACTCACGTGATCGGTGACAACCTCGGATAGGATGCCGAATAGAGCATTACACATGGGAATTTTTGGAAGGAAATGGCTCAGAGAGAGATGCCTCAAATTTGATTGACAAATTTGATCTACAGATGTCTCTCCAGCGTTTCTATGTATCGCGAAAAAAAATCGAGTAGCTTTGCTCGATAAAGAGTCAAGGACACATACACAAACAGATTAGCCGGCATACTATGCCAGTGGGGAATGATCAAATCGATAGGCTCTGTATAGATGCTGTTAAAATATGAAATAATAAATGAGAAAATTTGCAGGCTACCTGAATCTTTACTCTTACGACATGTAGACCTAGTTGAGCAACAGACAAAAACATTCGGTGCGAACCACGTTTTCCAAGTTTTATCCCTGAAAATTTTCGCGAGAGGTACGAGTGGCAACGCCATGAGACCTTGAACAAAACGAATCTCCTGAACAACAGAATCGCTGAAACGATGTGAATCCCCTTAACTTCAAATATTGCACTCTTCAGCAACCTCCTTTCAGGGATTGGGCACAGACTCTTGCCAATGAGTAAAGAACTGAGAAACAGAGAACGTGAAGAGACATATGATTTGTGGACTTTGAAAATCTGTATGGATCGTAAAGGTAACTTACTGCCTCAGAAAAGTAAAATCAGTTCGCCCAATGGAAAAGACATTGATTTCGGTCCGACAGACGGATTCCTGCGTAACGAGGTACGTACCAACCAGATTATTCAACACAACGTTTGCCGCCATACGTTCGCTAAGTGTTAGACGATGAAAGCGTACAAACAGCCATGGCGGATCAGCACCGCGCTCATTGTTTCCTCAACCACCGTTGTTCCCTTCATAACGAAAATCAGCGGACAATTTTCTTTTGTACTTTAATGAATACAATCGTCTCCAAATTGTGATGTCATCTCTGATGCAATATATGGAGAGGTGTACGCGCTCACAAGGAGTGAAAAAAAGCAGTTACATGACTGGGAAAAGTTCGCAGTAAATGATTGTATGAGGGGCAGCCCTTCGTCCGTTTGCTCAGTCCGATCCAGAAGCGTGGTTCACGGCAATATATGCGAAGGTTAAAGCAGGGCCAAGTGTGCTTCCTGGTCCGCAGTAATCTCGTCCCATCACTGAAGCTGATGTGTTGCCAAATGCGTACAGATTCCGTATTATTAGACCATCTCTTCCAATTACTCTTGCATTTACATCAGTCAGAAGACCGCCTTTAGTTCCTAGATCGCCTGGGACGAGCTTGCAAGCATAGAAAGGTGGCTTTTCTATCGTACCCAGCGACGGATTGGAGGCATACTTTGAAGCGGGATCTCCGAAGAACCTGTCGTACTCATTGCCGCCGCGATTGAAGTCGTCGTCGCGGCCCTTCCTGACCATTTCATTAAACCTCTTGACACTCGCTTTGAGGCCTTCTTCATCGACGTCGAGTTTTTGTGCAAGCTCATGGAGCTTTTGTCCCTGCACTATTAATCCCGATTCTTCGACATCTCTTGGCAGCGTCTTCCCCGGCAGGATGTTGGCAAGGACATATCTGCTTCGGAACTGTTGGTCCATGATCAGATATGCCGGAATTGCAGGCGTCGTCCGGTTCCGCTCGTACTGGTCGTGGACAAACGTGGTGTAGCTCTGCGCCTCGTTTGTGAATCTCTGCCCAGACTTGTCCACGACAATCGAATGCGGCAGGGCGCGCTCAAACAATGTGAACATTGGCGCTCCGTTCCTGGGATCGATAATCGTCGGTCCCCACCATGCATCGTCCAGGAGCTCCGTCGCAGCTCCGATGTCCATTGCCGCCGAGATCGCGTCTCCAAGGTCGTTAGGAGAAGCCGACGTCCATGCATTTGTGATTGGATGTTCTTGATATTTCTCTCTCATCTCTTTGTTGCGAGCGAATCCTCCTGCTCCTAGCAACAACCCCCTTTTCACTTCAACTACAACATCTTTGCCGCTTCGGTTTATAATTGCCCCTGTGACCTTTCCATTCTCCACGATGAGTTGCTTTAGACCGGCTTCGGTCCAGATCGTGACGTCCCTCTTTAAACACAGAAAGAGCAGTTGTGCTATCAAACTTGTCCCCAATGTCACCGGCTTCCTTCCGAGCAACCATTGATATCCTTTTCTCAACCCAAACACCTGAACTGCCTTTCCAAACCCATCCAGCGAACACATGGCTCGGACAAGTTTGGGTCCTTCATATGTATACATTGGCAAAGAACCTGTCGGCATCGCCGGGTTGATATTCAGTTTTTTCCCCCACTCTCCCAACTTCCTTAGATCAAAAACTTCAGGTTCTATAGAGCGACCACCGGCTGTCCCCCCCGGCAGCTGTGGATAGTAGTCCGGATAGCCTATTGAGGGGACCCACTTGAAACCCTCATTCTTCAGGAAAAGCACCATTTTTGATGCATTTTCTAGATAAACGAGCTTTCTCTCTCGACTACTTGCTGGGCCAGCGTAGTTTGGATTTATCAGGTTCTCCATGTATTTCAAGGCCTCTTCCACACTGTCGTCTACGCCGTGATGCAAGCCGTTATTCGGTACCCACAAGCCTCCGCCGGAATAGCATGTACTTCCGCCAATTAAGGAGCTTTTTTCCACAACTAGTGGTGTCAACCCAAGAGCTTTGGTGCGCAGTGCTGCAGTGAGTCCGCCACCTCCCGAGCCGATAATGAGAATGTCTGGCTGCATGTCTCTGGTTTTAATCGACGACGTGGAACGGACACCGCTGTAAAAACGGGGTCTAGGCTTTAATTCATATGTATTTGAGCTTGAAATCCGGCTGGCTGTATTCAAACGCAATACGGATGGTGTCGCATATGGCTCGACTGCTATTTTCCCAGCTGAGGAACTGGTTCGAAGGAATGACAAGCGTACTGTATACTGCATTTTCGCGTTATACGCAAATGCTTGAGCTCTTATGTTGACATTGTGGAGATGTAGACCTAAACTTTGGGATAAAAGTAAGCTGATGTAAGCTTGAGTTAGCGAGTTCATGACACTTTCAGGGAGGTCAGGTAGTCCACCAATCTGAGTACACTTTGTTTTGCTTGATTGGCCCCATGTTAAAATTTCGCTCAGTCCATGCCGCTGGGAACCATGATGTGGCGCTGGCCTGTGCAACTCCTCGTTAATTGAATATACTTGGCTGAGGATGATGACACATAAGTCAATGACACTTGTGTTGCGCGTTATGCTCACGGTCATCCAAATTCAGTAGAAGGCCGCCGCGGCGTTGCCAGGCTAGACAAACGCTTTTCTGGCTGACGACTTATAGCTGCTAATTCATGAAATTAGCAAGAGAAGGTTTTGATATAATTCAAAAAAAATGATACCTTAAGCCGACCCAAGTCCCAATCTGGCGCTGAATAAAGGAGAGCCTTATGTAAATCGCTCCATGATCAGTTAAGGTTCCAAAGTTAGACTGCAAAGACGGGCTGCACTGTGCCAACCAAATCTCGAGCTCCTGCGGGGATTGCGGAGATGTAAACCCAGCCTCATGGCGACAATTGAGAAGAAGCCCTTGAACAGCAGCAGGAAATCAGTGCAGTGAGAAAACAGAACCAGAATCTTGAAATCAGGCTCAGATGATTTAAGTGACAAGTCACGCGGTGGCCAAACTTGACTGATTTCATACTCGGTTTCGGCCGCTGTCAGTCGCTATGTCCGGTCAGTTAGAATTCAACAGATATCGCACGAACTGCCAGACAAAAAAGTGAAGATCTCAATTACAGTTGGTTTATAAACAGCATATTTATAATACAATACCATATGTTACGCAGTTGACTAACAAAACATATACTCAATCAGTCGTATAGGTAAAATCATTCGGATAAGATACGCCAACCTTTCACACTACTAATCGTCAATAAAAGATGAGGTGTCATAAGAAATGAACTAGCTGTGCTAACAATATCCGACATGTGACAGACTACATAAAGTTATCCGTCGCCTCCCCAGTTGGTGTGTTCGATGAATCTGATTAGGTTGATCTCTAAGTTTACAGGCTTGCTGCCACTTAGAACGTGTGAAATTATACCCTGCATTAGAACTAATAACTGGATCTACGTGTCAACAAAGATAACTATCAGGTTAGGTAAGCAAATCAAAGTTTACGGTAATTACACAAGTCTCAAGCCCAAGGCCATGACTTTCATATTTTGTAGCAGTCGCCTTTCGTGCTTGAGAATTGATCTCTATACAGAGTAAGATTGAATACGAAGTTAAGTCGAAAGGAGAAGCTGCGAAGATGACATAATTGTTCGAGAAGCAAGCGAACACCTGAACTAAGTTAATTATCATAGCTGTTGGAAGGTTCACCTATCATAACTAGTGGTGATTATCTGCATACCATAGTATACTGCTTCTATTTGGAAGGTGCACTCATCACGACAGGTGGAGATTACCTTCATAGCTCTGTATACCATAGTTCACCGCTCCTATATAGTTTGCACTTTATGTATCTCGCATGCTGCAGCAGCGACAAGAACAACATCAACAGAATCAATCAACAGACGAGGACCGCACAGAATTATCCCTCAGGATGAAGTATCTTGGTGAGAAGATCCTCCAGAGAACTGGACAGAGAGAAAAAAATATCAATGTCTCGACTTGGTAATTGTACGACACGGCGTACATTATCCTACAATATATCAACAATCACACAAAGGAAAAACAGAGATACCAGAAACCTACATTAATACATAATCCAAGCGAAAGCCGGCGGTCATAATCTTGACCGATTGGCAGATGAACCTAATATTGCGCATTATGGGAATACGCACGAACAACATCGCCAAAAATGGCGGAGGACTCAGTGGTCATGGTAAAAACTTGCACAACTAAAAAGAGAAGTTAACCTTATCGTACAATAACAATCTGACAAAAGAAAGGTATAAGGAATAGGATTGCTTACAGGAAATTTTATGTGTGCGTTAAAGAGAAAAAAAAAAGAAAAGAAGAAGAAGAAAATGGGAAGATATAAAGAATTTGAAATTGTTATACAGTCATACTCAAAATATAGGAAGGTGCTGATGGAAGAAAGGAAGAAACTACCTTACATAAAGGTGATCATACATTGCCTTACCACAAAAGAAGAGACCTCAGTGTCCGTATATGGCTATGTACGATGTAACCAGAAACAGGAGCGCACAGAGACTAAATATATTAGGCACGGAGAAACTCTTAATCTTAAGGGGTATAAAAAGGAAAGAGGAACCAGAATGTACACAGAGAGAGAGAAAGAGAGAGAGAATTTTGAATAATATAAAAATACCATTTTAGTACGAGACAGAACGTCCGGATTATCAAGGTGCCAGACGCGAGGATTGTCCCAGTTCTGCCTCAGCTTCGCCTGTCAATAGACGCTATAAAAATGCTTTCATGTGTCCTAAAACCAGCGCCTATGAGCATATAGCTCGAAAAGAGTCAGGTACGATTTCCTTTTTCGTACCATTATGTGATCTTAAAAACCATTTAGCGCCCTCAAACAGGCTAAAATCGAATAGTTGGAAGTCTATTCTGCTTTTTGGAAATGCTTTAGATAATTTTAATACAGGTCCAAAAGCTAAGCTTCCTCTTGCTGTTTCTGGCAACCCGCAGCCCTACAGTTCAGTCTAGCTTTCGCACTATCCCCGTGTCAGAGAGTTCCCTCGAAAAATCTAGCAATTATGGAAGCTATATGTTCTCAGTCTGGAGGAACAGAAAAGTGAAACGAGCGAAAAGTTGAATAGAGAAGAACCCTGCACATAAATGCAAACTGCTTTCGGATGGAAATGAGCAGGACTACATTGAGACTACTTTCGGCCCGCATGTTTTTTAATCGATTAGATAGTCCTCGGTGGTATCGCAAGGTTGATGCGAAAATAGCCCGGGCAGATGTACTCCGCTATCTTGTGATTTATGCCGAGGGCAGCCTGTAGTCAGATATTGACGTCGAATCTCTGCAACCGCTTGCAAAATGGGTGGCTGCGCATTATAATCTAAAAGAATTGAGATCCTTGTCGGGATTGAAGTTTGATCAACCGAAGTTTTTTTACATGACCCAATCCTAAGCAAGTAGAGCATGTCCTTCTGTCAATAGACGTTTATCTAACTTCTAAGCCGCATCACGTCATTATATTGAGGTTTGTGGAGCATATTATGGAATGGTTGAACAACTTTGGAGGAAAGCAAAAAGTTTCCATATCAGATGTGGTATTGAACTTTGATGATATTATTACAGCAACTGCGCTGTCGACATTTACACAAGTCATACTTGATTACATGAGCACAAAGGCCAGATACAAAGTTGATTGGGATACCTTTCACGAATGAGATCGAGTTCAAATTGGTTTCAGGAATATTGGTTCTACCGTTTGAAGCTTACGCTGCTGGCCAAGACCATTCGGATTCGGGATCACACAACGCTTACCGCGCGCTTGTTAAGCACCATTACCATGCACTTGGATGGCTGACTTAGACACCCACGCTTCAAGCATGTCATATATGGTGCAGTTGGAGATTGTAACTGGAACAAAGTCTGTGTCGAAAAATGGGGCGAAGAATTTGCGGCGTGGGACAAGCTGCCAGCGAAGGAACAGAAAAGGAAGCTTGAAGCTAAGAAAGCCGAAGAGGAGTAGAAAGGAAAGTCGAAGATGTGCAATCTGCTGAAGAAGGGAAAAAACAAAATAATGAGTGAAAGCTGACTGCTCCGAGTTCGATACGCAGGAAGAGGATCTGAGGTGCTTCGCTTCGCAAGTCAATCGCTCTTAAAGAGAATATGCGTCTGGGGAAAAAGACCTCACCTCTTTGCTTCTGAAAGACTGTAGACAGACATCGGAGTTAAATCTATACAATTCAAATGTCCAAGACTTACATGCGATCGGTTTTCTTATTTGATGTGTACAGAATCTATGATCATTGATCTCAAAGATCCAAGAAGTAGGGTGAGGTGTATCAGTAAAGTGGACTCCGAATAAGGCTAGCGTATTGCCTATTCAAGATCTGGGACTACCGGACAGTCGAGGTGCCCAGGGGGGTGTCAGAGAACACCTGGCAGGATAGCTGGAGATCAATCAATCCAATCAGACATCGACAATACATTGAGTACACTGACAAGGTGACTGTGACTGCCGATAACGGATGGAAGCTACGCGGAGCTAGTTCTAAATGGCGGCATCAAGCTCTCACGACCTTCAAATCTGCCAAAGACAGTCAGAGGACAACTCATTAATCAATAAATGAGCGGTGTCGAACTCTTTTGATGTGAGCGCTACAAGTCTCATCGCAGGCTCTCGTTCCGCAAACCTCTGGTGTCGCCCGTGGTAAATTGATTATTGGTTATGCTTGACTGCTTTCCTTAACAATATGCTTTGGTGACAGAGTCATAGAGAACGCACATGCATGAAATCTGATTGAATGTGGAATTTCGCAAAAGGAAATCTGTCGTGGAAGCATCATGCAAATGCTAAAATATATTCTCTGCTACCTGCAACCGGTAGTATGCTCCGTGACCATTCCGAAGGCGGTCAAATCAGATAGAAAGGTCTCCACTCTAATCGGACAAAGTAGAACAGTGTCAGACTCTGTTTTGGATACAAACCGTTTTCAGAAACGGGACTATCAACCGGTGTGCAACTCTCTGATTCTCTCAATAAACAGTATCAATGTTTGTCTACATAACCTGCAACTTCTGCGAGGTGCTGGTGTGTATGCCCTTGACAAAGTGAATCCCTTAAGCTGACCAGTGGTAATATAGATACGTGCATAGCGGACCCAGAAAACGGTACGACGGGTCACTTATGTGAAAGTGGAGATGTCAGAAGCGGCAGCTAGGTGCATAATAGTTGGCTGGACTGGACATGAGAAAGGCAGGCAAATTGAGGCTTCTGTAAAATTCTGGTGCAGTCAACTTGGATGTACTTATTTGTTATGTCCAAGATATATGCCATAGCTGAGATGATCACAATCGACACAGCTCAAGCAACCTCAATCGCGATGGATTTGCGCTACCACCACAGTTCTATCGCCACGCATTTGGATGCCTGAAGATTAATCGGCAGGCGGTGTTAGCACCTCGCTAAGTTAACCTTGATAAACTTAATTAAGTAAAGGTAGTGTTTCAAACTTTATATGTTTTACTTCTCACATTAACGTGGGACAGGGCAAAGTGAACCTCCCGCCACGCTCATTTGCTCCACATTGTGGCGAGCGAGTGCCACCTCCAGAAGGAGAAACGTTCGGATGTCGGTGCATTGCCGCAAACCCCTATATTCGAGATTCATCTTGGATATCTCGCTCACCTCGATGATCTGAGTTTCGATCATCTCACCACAACAGCGACCAGGTTGTTTCGGTACTTCCGAATGCGGTTATGCCTCGGCAGACTTACTCGTCGTTTTGATGCTATTGCACAGCTTCCACTGCAATGAATCAGCCAGACAAGACTCGACATCGCTATGAGTCCACCGAGGCCTTGATTGCGCGGAGTTGCTATCTCTAGATCTCACGTAATAAAGGGCTTGCGATTTCCTCAATAGTGATGCTCGTGTTTCCAGTCGAGTCGTATCTGTTGGAACATTTTACCATATCATAACTGCGTCTTACGATGGAATCACCCAAGACGAAGCCAAAGCTAGGGCAGAAATTTCACTGCTACGGAATCAGTTTCAAATGGACTTCGTTGCATAAGAGCGCCGAAGAACTAAATAAATTGGTCTTCACGTATGACAAGCTCGCGACAGACACGGTCAATTATTTGCAAGAGAACGCGACTTCAAACAAAGATGTCCACGGCAGAGATCTGTTCAAGCTATTAAAAGATGAGGCAGAAGATGGCGGTGTCGTGGGCCAGTTGTGGGATCAGGTCAACACAGTACCGGAATGGGTCGACTGGCAACAAATTGAGAGGGGTCAAAAAGTCTTCTGGAGATACGTTGGTCCAGCACTTGTGGCAGTAAGTAGCTTTGAAAAAGAATTCGAATACCCAAGTCACGTCACTAATTCTTTGAAGCTCGGTCAAATGTCATTACTTGGTTCCTTCGGCTACGGACGTGCAGTTAGGGTTCTTGACAAGACGGGAGGTTGGAAGACTGAAAACACGTTTCGTCGCCTTCTGGAGACTACCCAGCACACGCTTGATGTACACAAAGATTTAAAGTCACTACAACCTGGTGGCGACGGATGGGAGTCATCAATCCGAGTCCGGCTTCTTCACAGCTCGGTCCGACGTCGAATTATGGCTCTTGCCAGAGAAAAGCCAGAATACTACGACAAAATCGTAGATGGTGTACCAATCAACGACATGGACAGCATTATTACTATGAATGACTTCTCCTCTCTTGTCATGTATCTCGGCCTCCCCCGCCAAGGTATATACCCGTCCAAGCAAGAGATTGCTGACTATCTCGCGACATGGAGATATATCTGCTACATCATGGGTACTCCAGACTTTTTCTTGGAAACACCAGAGAGCGCTAAGGCGATGATGGAGTCCATCTTCCTTTCCGAGGTGAAACCGGACGAACAAGCAGGTGTCATTTCCAACAATATGATCAATGCGTTGGTTGGTCAGGCACCTAGCTACGCCTCCCGTGGCTTCCTGCAGGCGATGGTGTACTGGCTAAACGGGAAAGAAATCGCTAGATCCTTAGAGATTGAAGCTCCCAGCCTTTACCATACCAGCTTGGTAGCTGGCCAGTGCTGGCTATTCATGCTTCTCACATACCCTCGCCGATTTACTCCGACCTTCATCGACGACCGCATCAACGAGGTAAAGTCGCATGCTATAGTGTCTCCTAAAGTCCCGTCGCTTATTATTTCCGCAGGCTACCAAGAAGAAGATTTATGATGCTCTTGTTCACAACAAGGAGAAGGGAGCACTTGGCTACAAGGCAAAGTTCACGTTCAAGTGGATTCCGGCTCTCGACTTTCGAACGCCACCTGGAGATACGAAAGCGGATAGGACCAAGGATTCCGGTGCTCTCAAACATTTTGGCCCCGAAGCAGTATCAATCGTCACGCTGTTAATGACCGCTTTTTCCGCTGCAGGCGGAGTCTGGGGCGCTTTTAGCACGGCGAAAAAATTTGGGCTCTTGCCAGCCTGGCCAGCTTGGCTTCCAGAGTTCATGCTGAGGCTTGCAAAGCCGACTTTTTCGCCCTGATAAGGAATATTGTTCAGCATTATGCTTACGTTTTTGCTTTTTCTTTTTTTTTCTCTCTGTAATTCGTAGCAAAAGCTCTAAATAAACGCGATGGAATCATCTAGACTGTACGTTAGAAATCTGCAGTAGACGAAAGATGCTAAGATACCAGACCAAACTGTATTGTGGGTTGTGTTCTTCACCCAGTTTCTAGGATCTAATATGTCATGGATGGAGTGTACCAGTCTATCCCATCCGCGTTGGCAGTAATTGAAACGCTCCTGCAATTCTCTTCTAACTTGTGCACACTGTCTCGGCGTAAGTCTTGATTGATTTTCAAGTTATCCGCTCTTTTCTTTCAGCCCAAAGATGCACGAACCTTCCTTCTTCCAAACCGCAATTCACTTTGAAGGAGCAATCCTGGTCGAGAAATTTCTGTTGAGCTCTGCTAATCATCACCCAGAAGGCCAGCAAAGGCTCAAGCAGCCTGGTTACATTAGATTCGAAGGAAGACCTAATCAATGTATTGCACAAATTGCACACAACATACGTTTACCACCTTTTGGTCACTTTGATTGTTTTGTAGTGACATGTTCAGCTGGGTCATACACGGGTTCGCCTGTTCCGTGCACTTGTCGAAGTCATTGATCGGATCGCAGACAAAGAATGGACTTCACCGGATGCAATGGAGGCATTCACTCTTGCCAGGCAGCTCACCTAATTCCTGCTCCTCGGCCGGGCCATAAGTACGATTCTTTCTTCCATAATTGATCTCGACAAGATTTCCCTCTCAATCGTCGTGGGATCCAGAAACGCAGGATAAACCTACACGCGATCGCAAAGCAAAGCATTCGTAAATTCCATACCTCGAGATTTTACAACCATGCGGACTCTTCACTTCTTCATACTATTACTTCTTCTCTTCATGAGCCAAGGTGGGGCTCAGGACACTCAAGGCGCACTTTCAAAGACTAGTGAGGTGCCAGCGCATAACCTTTTTGCACGAGGCGATTTTCTCGGGGTACGTTCCCCGTCTTGCTCTTTCCTCTTCCCTTCCCCACTTTGCTAACGAATGTCAAGGTGGACTGTGATGAAGATGCTTACTGGCTTGGGGTTGCCAATTGTGAGGTTATCTGGGATGGCATCTATTACCTAGATACAGTCGGCTCTCTGACTTGTGCTCCCCACACTCGCTGTCGTTGGTCATGCTCGTGGAACGTTGGGCTGTACTACGACAACATCTCGGTGAGACACCCCAAAAATTGTCGAGAGTCGGCAGAGCTTGCTTACGACCTGAAAGGGACGTGAAATCCATACAGACGGAAAGACTGTTGCCAATGAGTTCCGCGATCTTTTAAACAGATGCCGCCCAAACACTTGCCGAGCCCAGGATATTCACTACTACACTAGAGACCAGGCAAATTACACTGACCATCACATCATGGCCTCTCATACTGGTGCGTTTAACGAACACTGTTAAAGTCGGCGCCACAAAGATTAATTAAATTTACGCGGTGCTGGCTGTTGCAAGCAGTAACAGTCAAACAAAGTTAAGAAATCGATAAGTACTTTAAAAATAGTCACGATGAAAATATAGGCTACTAGGGCCGGGAGTAACGACCTCCCCACAGATGCTTAAATGAAGTGAAAGATGTTCAATTGATTCTTTCAGTGCTCAAATCAGCATGAATGTCGTTCAAATTTCCTGCCTTTGGCGTCCAATCGCTGTTGACGTCCCGCCAGAACTGTCAGTCAAATTGCCTTGTCGACGTGAAAGGTGGCGCGCGTAATGTCATACACACTGCCGACCGACACTATTTCTGCGACAAAGTCATTTCAGATGATGAGAACCGCGTGCTGGTTCAGCCTAGGCCATGCTGTCAGTGTATACAAGTTATCTGGATCCAACTTCCAGTAGCGCTTTGATTATAAGTTTTGACACATGCCTCTCCAAAAACTTTGAACATCATTTCACGACGCGCTACATTAATGACAGCGTGGGTGATGAAGGAGAAAAGGCACTTGGTCTCGGTTTTATATACACGATTTCTCTATCTAAGTCGTATTTGTCTTGCGAAAGAGAAAATGTTGAACGGAATCCAGTTTTGCTCTGCAGCGGAAATGCACAGTTTGCACAAAGTCGCTTGCAACGTCATGATTGCGTCGCTTGCATTTGCATTGGTGACATTTTCTTGATAACAAGGTATCTGAGAAGGGCATCAGCAACTTTTCTGCGCTGTTTTATAGGACCTAGCAATTGTAGATTGGCTCGCAGTCGGCTCGCAGTGATGTTTGACGTCAACAAATTCGTAGCGTTAAAATACCGACGCGCGTTCGAAGATCAATGTTCTCCTGCGCTTTCGATTTGTGGGTCCCATTTCAGTCGCCGATGCCGATCACTGAAAATGTCTGGCGTCTTTCCAATGTTCCATGTACACCAATCGGACCAACATCTTGACTTTCAATGATTGATAGCCTTCTAGAGTCGCTAGGACTGTTTGTTTCAATGCCGTAGTGTTTGAAGCACGCGGATAAACGATTTTGCGAGCCAAAATCTACATCACTTCAGACTGGCTGATGCAACGCGGCAACATGGTATCGAACGACTACTGGGACAAAGACGAGTTGGATGATCGTCTTTATTACGCCCGTCAACGCGAAAAGCAGGGCCTTTATCGTACCCCAGCAAGCAGTGGGTTCACGTGGCGGCTACGTCGAACGAGAGTGCTACCTGTACTCTTCGGCATCGTCGTCTTGCTCTTGTGGCAAGTTGGCCCAGCACGGTACTCCTCGCATCCGAATTGGTCCCGCCATGCGTACAGTCAGTACACAACTGACACGCAAAGCCTTTGTAACTCACTCATGGTTTTCGAAAGCTTGCACAAGCTGGGAAGCAAAGCGGACAGAGTGCTGCTGTACCCTAAAGAGTGGCTTGAGACGACAGGAGATATCAATTGGTGGATGCTTCACAAGGCCGAAAGGGATTATCGAGTCAAGTTGATACCTGTTGACCTTCTAGGAGCAGATTTAAATGCAGATAAGCCAGGCACTTTCGATGACCCATCAAGCGATTGGGATCTTAGTATCACGAAGCTCCAAGTCTTCGAGCTGGTGCAGTACGATCGAGTCCTGCATCTCGACAGCGATATCACGCTATTACAGCACTTGGATGAACTGTTCTCTCTTCCTAAGGCGCCGATAGCCATGCCACGAGCATATTGGTCTGATGGACCTCCGTCTCTCTGGCCATTTACGTCGCTTGTTATGCTGGTCGAACCGGACTCCGGGGAAATGCCTGCGATGATGGAAATACTTCGTCAATGGCAGCAGAAACCCGATTATTCGAGGTCGAAGAAGTACGACATGGATCTTCTCAACCATCGCTTTGCTCTCTCCACTACGGTCTTGCCGCATCGCCCGTACGCTATGCTGACAGCTGAATTCCGGTCGAAAGACCACCGAGCGTACATGAATCAAGGGATCGACATGAGCCATGACGAAAGCGAGATTTGGGATCCTGACAAAGCTTTGAAGGAGGCGAAACTGGTCCACTTCAGTGACTGGCCATTGCCGAAGCCGTGGATCATGTGGCCGAACGAAGGGCTGGTAGAAATGCAGCCGCAATGTGATGATGATTTCAAAGGCAGATGCAGGGAGCGCGAAATATGGAAGGAGCTCTACGAAGACTTCAGGCGCAGGAGAAGCAAGCTGTGCAAGATCTCTCCGGTGCCAGCGCCAAACTGGCAAGAGTGGAAGAACAAGACCGGAGCAGGCTAGTCGCATCCATATGGAGGTTTCCGACGCGTCTTCATCAAGTAAGATCGTCGGCAAGTGGCTCCGACCTATTCCCAGAGAATTTTGTCAGGAAATGGTCAAAATTACTAGCAGCCATCACCATTCCAGCTCAATTCAGAGTAGATGGTCTACATGAGGGCTCTGCACTCGTCGTATCGATTCTTGACGGCAAATTTTTCTTATCAACAAAGCTGGCAACAACCCAATCGTTTTTCTCAAAGCGGCTCAAAAATTGTAACAAAGAAAAACAAACGTCAGCAGTCTCTTTGTAGACACACGGGAACTCTAATAAGAAGGGCCCTGACCTTCGCGGACGGCCATACCGGCGTTTGACCTGATTTGAGTAAAAGTGCGTTCCCCCAATCCCGTGGCCAGGGACAACACTCGCTCGATAACGGCGACGGATGGCGCCCATGAGGTTCCAGTGGCTCTCTGATTTGTTTGGTATGGCACAAAAGGTCTCGTACGAGAAGTGAAGGTGATTTGGATGCTGACGGTGGTTAAAAGCGTTGTCGTGTCCGCATCCCGAAGAAAGCCTTGTATTTCTTCCTCTTTGTTGGGAACAAAGCTATTTCTCTTGTACCATTTTCTGTTCTTGGAGGTGGGCAACATATTTAAATTTGGGAGACAGTGGCGTTGAAGGGTGGAACGGGTGGCCGAACTGTTTTCGGACAGATGTACTGAGATTTTCTTAGGCGCCACGAGGAACCAAGAGCATAATAAAGCGCGTCTAGAACGTAAGTAATGTTGTTACAAATTATGTGATCTAAATCACGTGAACTCACATGAATCGCTGTCTTTTGTTGCAGATTAATCTGACCAGATACATGCACAAACACTGATATAGATCCACCATGAACGCGTCATTTCCACAGTAGGCATTGCTTTCTCTTCCGTCTCTTTGAACGCTGCACGACGGCAATCACAAGCTCTGCCGAGCTAGGTGCAGCCAACAGTGCAACGGCGTGTCAACACCAAGAGGATGAACTTCGTAGGCCTCGTCGACTTTTTCTCCTCGCCGCTCGTCGCCGTTTCTTAACATTCAAACCGGCCCATGCATCCTCCGGCCTCGCGAACCTGCTCGCCCCGTGCTCGCCGCGCACGACGTCGCACGGTATCAAGGTCTCGAGGTCAGTCGTCAGATGGAGCGCGACAAAACACGCAAGATGCCCGTGCAGCGCCGTACGAGCATTTGAGCTTCGCGGCTCGGAGGCAAGCTTGCTGGGTAACGTTGTGTCTGCGAATGCGCATCCTGCTCTCTGGGGTGTTCACGGCTCCGGCGCGACCCATGTGTGGGTCGCCACATCACTCTGGCGGCGAAAGCTGCGAGGGAAGGAAAAAGCCACTTGGAAGATCTGCGTTGTGCCTAGGCCCGTCCACAGCGGGATGAATGCGTTGGCGTCGCCCCGCTACGAGAGCTGCGCTTGTCGTTTGACGTTGTGATTGAGCGTTGTCAGCCCCTGGCAGGCGGATGCGTCGTTCGTTCGGCGCTCGAGACGAAGGGATTTCGCTCCCTTCAAGCCCGCCGCCTGGTGGGCGCTGGCATGTTTACAGGAACGAAACGGGCCTGCTCGGATGCTAGGCAAGAAAGCTCGGGAGCAAAGTACGTGTGCACTGACGAGCATGTGAGAGCATTGGCAGAAAGAATGACGATGAACAGCTGATACTCTCTACATCGACTCGAATTCTTTCTTTCGGTCAAAAGAAAGACCATTAGAACGTCCATAAAAGGGCTCTATATCGTGATGGTCGTATCCGTCAGCCCTGCCCAGTTCAGCTCGGCAGACGCGTACATGGCTGTCTATGCAGCGTGTGAAATTGTAAGAAAGAGATAGTAGACGCCATTTCCCATGCTGCTAGCAGGATTGATTCCTACTCCCACCCAGTCTGAAGAACGCCGCAAACCCAGGCCCATGCAAATGACGACAGTCTTTCCAATCTCTTTGTCTGCACTCTCATCGACTTCCGGAACGTAGCACAGGAGGCGCGACTCAGCCCTCAGCATCCCAGTCCAGTTTGAGTCTGGCCTTCGAGATTTCGTAGTTCTTCAATTTGTGCAGCACCTCGTCCGCGGTCTTTCCCTCCACCATTATTCCCCCGTTCTCCGGCGCAATGAAACCGGCTTTGACCGCGCCTTTGACCCAGTCTATGAGCCCGTCGTAATAGCCATCGACATTGTACACAACGACGGGCATCTTGTGAATACCAAGCTGGTTCCACGTGGTGATCTCCATCAGCTCCTCCAGCGTGCCAAACCCGCCGCTGAGCGCCACGAATCCCGAGCCGGGCCCACCCGTGGTGACTGCTTGCGCCATCATCTGCTTGCGCGTGTGCATGTCCTTGACAACGGTCGTCTTGCCGTAGATAGCCTGGTCGATGCCTTGGTCGCCCTGCTCATACTGCCGCAGCTTTTCGGGGATTATGCCGTGCACGCTGTCCGGGCCGGACAGGGAAACGAGCGTTTTCGCGACCTCGCCCATGAGGCCGAAGGTGCCGCCACCGTAGACGAGCGACATGTTGTTCAGGTGCAGCTGACGGGCCAGTGCGCGCGCGGCTTCTAGGTGAACTTCTGACTTGCCTGGGGAGGCACCGCAGCTGTTGCATGAGAAGAATTGGGTCAGCCAACGTTGTTAATTTTGCGCGCGTTGTTACAAGACAGGACGTGCGACGGGGTCATCGTTGAAAAAGTGAGCGGGAGAGGCGGGGTGAGGGGCGGGAGCAAACACGTACAAGACACAGACAACCGGCTTTTTCTGTGCCGATGCCAAAGTCGAAGAACCATTCACTGCTTGAGACGGCCTCACTGCATTCAGGGTAGGCGTTACCGCGTCGGGGGTGTTGAAATTGGATAGCGACGGTACGTGGTCAGAAGTCATGATCGAGATAATGTCAAGTATTGCTGGCGGAGGCGACGAGTCAAGCACCAGAAACGGACGTTTCGATGAGGAAAGGACAGTGTGAAATTGGCGCGTGGCAGAAGTCGTTAAAAGAACACATGTATGACAGCGAGTGAGTGGAAGATGCTTGAATGAAACAGGCGGTTTGCTGGTTGCACAGTCATGTGGAGGTGAGGGTGATGTAATATGGCCCACACACAGTCAAAGACTGGTGACAATGCGCGGCCAACCCAGGTCTGTACCGTTGTTTGATTTCAGTTCTTGTTAACTGTATCAGATAATACTGCCAAAGGCCTCAGTCGCTGTTGGGAGTGCAGACTCGTTCGAGACGGGAGCTGCTGTTGTCTGCTGCCGATGCCACTGCCGCTTGCTGTTTGTACACTCGCAACGACATAGAACATAGAACTACGACTTCCTTGACTCCGCGTCGCCTTGCGTCTTGGCCCTCACCGCCCGAACCGTGCGGGCGGCACAGGTCATATAAATTTAACCTGAGTCTTAAACAGGTCCGTATAACGTGGCTACCCATCCTGAAGCTATAGAGCATCTCGCAATGCCAAATTATGCCAGCTTCATTGTCGCTTATACGAGAAAGCTTAGAACTACGTGTAACGTCCGCGTTGCTGTGATTTTAAGCTTGGCTATGCAAAATGTCTACAACTCTGCAAATCGACGTCAACCCAATGAATGTTAGTATCAGCAAAACAATCAATCTGATTTTTCTATATTTCTATTTTTTTTTTTTTTTTGGGGGGGGGGGGGGGGGATTTCAAAGTGGCGCAATCGTCTGCTCAAGCCGTGATGCCGAAAGCTATTATTTTCCATTGAACACGCACATGGTGCTAAGCAGCTTTGCTCGTAGGATAGCAAGCATTCTTAACGCTCAGATTTAGCTTTTCTAATCCATATGCAGGTTAATTAAGGCTTTAAGATATCTGCACATGTATGAGGACCTGGTGAACATGAACTGCACATGTGGGTGTTCCCACATCACGGAATGTGTTCAGCCGAGTGTTAACAAGTTAGAGGAACTTCAGTCAAAACCATATATATGTCAACGCGACTTAACTGACTTGACTCGCAGACCATGTTAAACTAGGGAAAAGCTGAACCCAACTTGAACGTTGCTTGTTCCGCGAGTTGAATAAAACTTGGTGGGGCGTCATCCCGTGCGCAACCTTGGTTTGGAATGAAATTCACGTAAGCATTTGCGTTTGTAACTTTTCCTCCGCGCCCTGCGGCGCTTTCTTTCCTTCCCCATCCACGTCACCATCTTCTCTATCCGCAGAGGTCAAGATGCCGGCGAGACAGCCACCTGCCCAGGCGGGCGGCGATAGCGACGGTCAAACCAGCGTAAGTCACAGAGGGTGCTGTTCCTTCAGCAGCTTTTGTATAAAGGTGGTCGCAAGAATGACAATGCTAACCCTATCTCTGCAGCTCATCAAGACAGTTGTTCAGTCCGTCGGTATCTTCTTCCTTGTCCAGTTTGCTATGAAGCAATTTCTACCCCAGCCGCAATCAGTCTCGTCGCTACCGTCTGGCCCCGGCGGCTCATCCGTCATCTCCGGTCCCATCCCCGCCTTCACCAACCGGCCCACGCATGTCAGCCAAAACACGCCATATAATCCGATCCCGCAGCATATTGCGCCCATCTGGCCTGTCGATGGAACCCTGCTCGACCTAAGTGTCTACGTGACTCCATCCGTGGTGCTGCCTAGCTTGAAGAGCCTGCCCATGGAGAGCTTGGTGCTTGAGGAAAAAGCTTTTCGGTATGGCGACTGGAATGACACAAGGGAGATTAGTGCTACGTTCCCTGTCCCGAAGGAGGCGCAAAACAACGGTACTCTGTGGGCGCATTTTCTTGTTGCCCTGTCTGGGAACTCTCTGGACCCGTCAAGTCCGGGCTATGACACCAGCAAAGCATATCACTTTGCACGGCCGCTCACACAGTATCTGGCCAAGAAAAAAGTCATTAGGAAGCACAACCTCCTTTCCGGCGCCAATGAAACCACTCTGACGCGTGAAGAGGAGGCGGAGATGAAAGCTGGACCCGTGCTTGTGCCGTATTACCATCCGAACTTTACTCTGTCTTTTATCCCGGACACCGGCACGGTCTCGTATCCTAATCTTCATCCCGCTATTCGCTCCTTCGTCCAGCTTGAGCGCACCGGCGCTCGTGATTCTAGCGGCCAGAATGGCTGGTACTATCCGATTCTGTACCTGAATACGTTCTGGCAGCTCCGCTCACATATGACCGAGGTCAACACTACGATCAAGGAGCTTCCCATCAACATCGAACTTAACAACATGGGGAATTGGAAGTTCAGCATCCTTGCTTCGATTGATGATGGCATGAAGCTAAATGCTCAAAAGGCCGCACGCGGGGAGACCCTCCCAGGAGGAGGCGACGGCTCGGAATTCGAAATGTTCAAAGAGATCCTTCTCGACTCCAACATCTATCTGCTGTCCTTGACGGGAATCGTTTCCGTGTTGCACATGGTCTTCGAGATGCTCGCCTTCAAGAACGACGTGTCTCACTGGCGCAAGAAGAAGGACAATGTCGGCACATCTGTTCGCACCATCCTCGCCAACATCATCATGCAGACTATTATCTTCCTGTACTTGATTGACAACAATGAGAATACAAGCTGGATGATTCTGTTCGGTCAGGTTATGGGTATTGCAATCGAGGCTTGGAAGATCACGAAGACAGTCAATGTCCGCATCAGGCCCACGCCCCGAGGCAGCAGCTGGCCTCTGCCTTACACGATCGCATTTGAAGACAAACACAAGCTTTCCGATACGGAGAAAAAGACGGCGGAGTACGATGCCATTGCGTTCCGATACATGTATATGCTTGCCATACCCCTACTGGCCGCGTATGCCGTGTACTCTGTCATATATGAGGAGCATAAGTCTTGGTATTCTTTCGTCATCACAACGCTCGTCGGCTCCGTGTATGCGTATGGCTTCCTCATGATGGTACCCTCGCTCTACATCAACTACCGCCTCAAGTCTGTTGCACACATGCCTTCAAAAGCGATGATGTACAAGTTCCTGAATACTTTCATTGATGACCTGTTTGCATTCACCATTAAGATGCCAACTCTGCACAGACTCGCCACGCTGAGAGACGACGTCATTTTTTTTGTGTACCTTTATCAGAAGTGGGTCTACAAAGTTGATTACAGCAGAGTCAATGAGTTCGGCCAGGGGGGCGAGAGTGATGACGAGAAGGAGGAAACAAAAGCAGGAAAGGAGGCCACTAAAGAAGACGTAAAGGCTTTAGAAGATAAAGCGAAGTCATCAGGTGTGCAGGCGAAGTATAAGGCTGTAAGGAGGAAGTAAGTGGGTAATATGTTTGGGATAACTATCACGATTGAGTATTGCAGTCTGTAATCTTTTTAATTTTTTATTTCCAACTAGTGAGCGAAATGGATAGACTCTGTTATATAATTATAAATAATATTTGTTCCTGTCCGTACGTGGCAATGTACGATATACCAAAAAGGGAGGAATAATGGTGCTAACCAAATCTGGCATAAAGAGCCCCTTAATCTTAAGTCGTATATAAAGAAGAGGAGAAATAGAATGTAGATTAGATAGATAATTGAAAGTAGTACCCTTTAGTACTAAGACTTCGTTGGTCTTATAGCCTTTCGTGGCTCCAGCCTTTCGTGGGCCCCGTCTTTTGTGACGTGCGATCCTGTTAGGAATCCTTTCCTAATCCGACAAGACTTCACTAATGTAAGCCACTTCGGAAGGGATGGGCTTCCTAGAGCAATGGAGGAAGGTACTTCAGTAGTATATAGGAAGAAGATAGATATACCACAAGAGTCTTTATGGCTTAGGATAGGTGTACTTTGATAGATAGGAACAGATTTAAGAACTAACAAACTAGATATGCTAGACAGTTTAACTACGGTTTTCGAAGAATGAGGAAAACCGGAGTCCTTTTATAGAGAATGTAAATAAGTGCTCATGCCGCTCATAAATGATCGTCATGATTACTTCCTGCAGTTATTATTGGCTTACTCCAGTAGAGCCAATAGCCCTTTTCCTTATCATGCACCTGCTCATACTGCTCATGAATGAGCAGACTGATCACCCACATGACTTCAATATTACCTTATATCATATGTATTCGCTTGTGGAAGTCGTACCACCGGCAAACAGACGGAAGCTCGAATTTATGCGCGTCTTGACAAATGTGTTACGGGGTGTCCCTGTAACACCTAATAGGCACTACTCTGTTACCTTACTTAGACCAAGATTGGCCAACATCTGCCAACATCCGCTGTCATTAGCCAACACCCTAAGGCTGGAATATATAATATTAAGGCTGTCCCTTAACTTAGTTAAGACCAATTAGGGAAAGCATCTCAAGACCAAGGCATTGTGGATGGTATTATCAAAGCATGAATAATTTCTCTTGAGTTGTTAGCTTACCGCTAGTCCATGGGCAGGCCACCTACGCAAGCACAGGCAGTATCCTCTGCTTGGTAATTCTACAAGTTGCACATCGCGTAACATACGTTGCAGAGTATAGGAACGTCTTTTTGAAGCCGTGCTGCAGCGGACTATCCGCCGGGACAGAGAACAACTCAAAGCGACAGAAAGCAAACGTTTAATCTCATCGAGATCCATACCACAGTCAGTATTTTAACAGGGGTCCTCTCTTTTCAGATCTTGTAGACTGAGCAGGGCCTCCTCCACTGCCGATCCACCGTGCAACTTGAGAGATTCAAGCACATCGGTATTCAGGGCCTACCTACACGGAATCAATCGGGCTGAGGATAATAAATGCCAGTGCGGTCAAGTCCAGATAGTCCGGCATGTCCTCCAAGAGTGCCCCAACTTCAATAACCTGCGCAAGCGGGTATGGCGCAAGGTGCAGCCTGCCGACATGAAATACCTGCTCGACAAGGACGCGAAACTCACCACCCGATTCCTGCAACAAACCGGCCTCCTTGGGCAATTCACAGGAGCCATTATACAACAAGAGTGGTAGTAGGATACCAGAGATGCAGACAGGGGAAGACGGTTAGTACTAGGGAATAAACCAGCCACGGAAGGGCCCTAGAGACGGGGCATCCGCCCATGGGGCCCGAGGCTAAAGTACAGTAAATAGAAGGCAATAATTAGAGGGTAGCCACCCTCCAAAATGGGCTATGCCCAGGGGGACTCTGAACCCGGCAGCTTAACGTCATTCCGGACG